AGATAGCTATAGAACACTTCACCCAAAAACCAATGCATGTACATTTTTCCCCAAGCACACATGGAACATTTTCGAGAATAGACCATACTTGGGGAGACAAATTGTCAATAAAACTACAGAGATCAAAACTATACCTGTATTCTTTCTGACCAAATGCCATAACATTAGAAGTGATTATAAGAAAAACCTGGAAAACTATGATTACATGGAGACTAAACAATATGTTGCCTAATAGCTGTTGGACAAAAGAGTAAATTAAAGCAGATATTAAAAAATACCTTGAGATTAAAATGATGATACAAGCTATAAGATGCAGCAAAAGTAGTCTTAAGGGGGGAGGTAATTGCAATACAGACTCACATTAAGAAGGAGGAAAAATCTCAAACAATCTAATATCACATCTGAAGTAACTTGAAAAAGGACAAATAAGACCCAAAGGTAGTATAAGGAAGGAAATAACAAATATAAGAGTGGAAATAAATGAAACAGAGGTCAAAAAGGCTTCACACACACACGTACACACACACGCACACAAAATCAATAAAACTAAGAGTTGGTTCTTTGAGAAGATAAACAAAATAGATAGGCTAGCAAAAGATAAAAGGCTAGACTAGCAAAAGATAAAAAGAGAGAAAATATTAATAAACAGGATCACAAGTGAAAGAACAAATCACTACAGCACAGAAATACAAAAGATCTCAAGAGACAACTATGAACAACTATCTGCCAATAAACTCAATAAAATTTCTAATCAATCTAGCCTGCCCATCTTCCTCAAATTGTTTTTAAAAATACAACAAAAAGGAATGTTCCCTCATATATTTTACAATGTTGACATTACCTTATTACTGAAACCAGACAAAGACAGTACAAAGAAAGGAAATTATAGACTGATATCCCTGATGAACATTGATGCAAAAATTCTCAACAAAATACTAGCAAACTGAATTCAACGTATTAAAAGAGTCGTATACTATGGCAAATGGAATTTATTCCAGGGATGCAAGGATGGCTTATACATGTAAATCAATCAATGTAATATATCCCATTAACAAAAGTAAAGATAAAAATCATGGTAATATAAATAGATGCAGAGAAAGCATTTGATAAGATTCAGCACCCATTTAAGATAAAAACTACAAAAAAATAGGAACAGAGGGAACCTACCTCAGTATAATAAACAATATATGTCACAAACCAACAGCTGATATAATACTTAGTGGTGAAAAACTGAAAGCTTTCCCATTAAGATCAGCAACAAGACAAGGATGCCCATTGTTAACACTTCTGTTTAACTTAGTAGTAGAGGTTTTGGCCAAAACTATGAGATAGACATGGGAAAAAAGGGTATTCAAGTTGGCATAAAAGTGAAACTATTCACAAATGATATAATAATATATATGGAAAAATCTAAAAACTCCATCAAAGAATTATTAGAAACAGTAAGTGAATACAGCAAAGTGGCAGGTTACAAATCAACACACAAAAATTCATAGTCTTTTTACATATAAGCAACAACTGAGAAGCAAAAGAGATTAAGAAAATAACTCCATTTATAATTGCTTCCAAAAGAATCCCATACCTCAGGGACCTCCCCTGGTGGTGCAGGGGGTTGAGCACAGCTCTGTGAAGCGCAACCTCTGCAGCACAGGCTCAATCCTAGCTGCCAGCGAGGGTCCCACATGGTGTAGCAGACCTCTCCTGTCGTGCCCGCTGCTCCCCTCAGCAGTGTATTTTGTCAGTCTGCTTGTTCTGTTCCTCACTCTGTCTCTGGTGAATCCTCTCACCCTCCCATGCCTCTGGCCTATACTCCAGTTCTTGTATAAATCAATCAATCAATCAATCTTAAAAAAAAAAAAAAGAATCCCATCTCAGGATCAACTGAACTAAGGATCTGTACAATGAGAACTGCAAGATGTTATTACAGGGCTTAGATAGCCACATAAGGAGATGGAAGTATGTCCCATGTTCATGGATGGGGAGAATCAGTATAATCAAAATGACTATCCTGCCTAAAATGATATAATACATTTAATACAAGGGGCCTCCCTAGTGGTGCAAGGGGTTAAGATGCAACCTATGAAGCTGTCCGCAGCCACTGCAGCATGAGTTTGATCTCCGGCCAGGGAGCTACCCACATGGGGCAGCAGACTTCTCCTGACTCGCCTGTTGCTCTCCTCAGCAGTGTATTTCAGTCGATCTGCCTGTTCTGCTCCCCGCTCTGTCTCTGGTGAATCCTCTCAACCCCCACACCTCTGGCCTGTACCCCAGCTCTTGTATGCATAAATAAATAAATCTTTAAAAAAATAATAATACATTTAATACAACCTCCATCAAAATACCAGCAATATTTTTCAAATAAATTGAACAAAGAATACTGAAATTTACATGGGACTACAAAAGACCTGAAGTAGTGAAAGCAACCCTGAGAAAAAAAGGAGAGAAATGAAGGTATCATGTTACCCGAGTTCAAACTTTACTACAAAGCAACAATATCAAAAACAATATGGGGCCTCCCCGGTGGCGCAGCGGTTGAGCGCTGGGTTGCGAAGCTGCTCACAGCCTCTGCAGCGCCGGTTCGATCCCCGGCTGCTCCCTGGCCACCAGAGGAGGGTCCCACATGGCTCACAGACCTCTCCTGCCGCCTGCTGCTCCCCTCAGCAGTGTACTTTGGTCCTTCTGCCTGCTCTGCTCCCTGCTCTGGCTCTGGTGAATTCTCTCACCCTCCCGCGCTTCTGACTGTACCCAGTGCTTGTATAAATAAATAAATAAATCTTTAAAAAAAAATGTTGATTAAAAAAAAAAAAACAATATGGTATTGCCACAAAAATAAATACATGGATCAATGGAATATAATTGAAAGCCCAGAGATAAATCCATGTAAATGCCCAACATATGATAAAGCAGCTATGATAAGACAGTGGGCAAAGGACAATGGGCAAAGGACAGTCTCTTTAATAAATTGTGCTGGGAAAATTGGAATCTATACATAAAAGAATGAAGGTGGGTCACTCACTAACTCCACACACAAAAATAAACTCCAAATGGATTAAAGAGTTAGATACACAAACTGCAACAATACAATACAGATAAGAAAACATTGGCTTTTTTGGGTTTTATGATATAAATAATAAAGATACTTTTAGTGACTTGACCCGTATGGCAAGGGAATTAAAAACAAAAATAAACAATTGGGGTTAACTTAAGTAAAAAAGCTTCTATACATTGGAAGAAAATACAAAATGATGTATAAAATATATTAGTATCCAAGATATATAAAAACTCATACAATTCAACAATTAAAAAAAAAAAACCCAAGCAACCCAATTAATAAATGGGCAGCCATTGTGAACAGGCAACTCACCAAAAGGCCAAAGGCATATGAAAAAAGGCTCATTGTTACTTCTTTTTTTTTTTTTTTTAAAGAGACACTAGACTTGGGACATTTTATTTATTTGTTTGTTTGTTTATACATGCACTGGGTACAGTCAGAAGCACGGGAGGGTGAGAGAATTCACCAGAGCCAGAGCGGGGAGCAGAGCAGGCAGAAGGACCGAAGTACACTGCTGAGGGGAGCAGCGGGCAGCAGGAGAGGTCTGCGCGCCATGTGGGACCCTCCTCCGGAGGCCGGGGAGCAGATGGGGATCGAACCGGCACCGCAGAGGCTGCAGGCAGCTTCGCAACCCAGCGCTCAACCGCTGCGCCACCGGGGAGGCCCTCATTGTTGCTTCTAATAAAAGAGATGCAGGTTAAAACCACAAGGAGATACCACCTCACACTGGTGAGAATGGCACATATTAAAAGACTTTCAACAAGTGCTGGAGAGGATGTGGAGAAAGATGAACTCTGCTACATGGTACGCGTAAACTGGGGCAACCATTATGGAAAGCAATTTGGATTTATCTCAAAAACTAAAAATGGAGATACTATATGATCCAGCCATCCCAGTCTTGGGCATCTGTCCACAGAATATGATATCATCAACACAAAAGCCCAAATCTTCCACATTGTTGACATCAGCATTTTCACAATAACTACATCATGGAAGCAGCTCAAATGCCCACGGACAGACTAGACGATTGAATCAAGAAAAGGTGGCTATATACATATCATAGAGTATTATACAGTCATGAGAAAGGATGAAATGTAGTCATGTTCAACACAATGGAGGGAATTTGAGAGAATTATGTGTAGCAAAGTGAGTCAGAGTGATAAAAATGCTGGATATTTATGTAGCAGACAATGTGATGGTGTGAAACACTTTCAAAGACCAGGGGACAACAATAAACATTGTGAGGGCTCTGAGGTTAAGAAGAAGGTGGGAAGGAGCCTCCGTGGTGGTGCAGGTGGTGGAGCACTGCACTGTGAAGCTGCTTGTCCGCAGCCTTTGCAGTGTGTGTTCGATACCCGCCAGCCGGCGAGAATCCCACATGGCGCAGCAGACCTCTCCTGTCGTGCCCGCTGCTCCCCTTGTAACAGGGTGGTCCCCAGGAAAGGGGGAGGTTCCCTGCCCCACCCAAGGGAGGGTGGAGCTGAGCAGGAAGAGGAGAGGCAGAAGAGACAGAGGAAGGAAAAAGAATAAGGAGCCAGAAGGAGACCTGGAGAAGGCACATGAAGCCTAAAAACACGTAAAGAAGCTGTGCTTGTCTTTTGGTAGTGGATGGGGTGACACAAATGTGGGTAAGACCCATGGGGAGGTGACAATGACAATTTTTATTTTAATGTTAATTTTGCTTTTTTCCTTAGTGTACTTCATCAATCTGCCTGTTCTGTTCCCTGCTCTGACTCTGGTGAATTCTCTCACCCTCCCGTGCATCTGGCCTGTACCGTGATTCTTGTATAAGTAAATAAATAAAAAATAAAAAAAAAAAAAAAAAAAAAAGAAGAAGAAGGTGGGAGGGAGAGGGACAAGGGTGCCGCGGACCAGCACAGCAGTAGACGATGAGGCCACCTCAGGGTTGAGAGAAGCGTGCAGGGTGGTCAGGGCGTCGGTGAAAGAAATGACAAACAGACACACTTCAAGAGTGAAAATCTGAGTGTAATTTTCTTTAAGTTTGTGACCAGTATATATATATGTTTTCCAAAAACACAGGGACAATGAATATCAATGAAATCAGCTTGCTCATGGGCTCAGTCTATGACCATCAGGGAGGTGATCTACATAACAAGCAATGACCATTATAGAAGAAAGAAGGAAGTTTAGAAAGACAAATAAGGGATTAAAGTTTGTAGTTCTAGAAAGAAGGGATAAGATTTTTAGCATTCTTGTAGTGGTTCTTGGTGGTCGTTGTCTTTTGATAAGCTTCTGCCTTTTCAGGGAACTTCCGCTGAACTTCCTCTGCTTCAGGCTGTTCTCCCCCCGTGCGCTGGTTGCCCAGCCGGATCTAGGGACCCTGGCGAAAGCCATTCCTAAAGATCACTGCGGGGGGAGGTGCAGCAGGTATGTAGGGTTTTGCTGTTCTCCCCCTGCGCGCTGGTTGCCCAGCTGGACCTAGAGACGGTTAGCCCTAAAGGTCACTGCAGGGGGAGGTGCAGCAAAGGGGATATATGGGAAAATTTTTAAATTAAATTAAGAAAAAGATTAATTTTAAAAAAGCAACTACTGAAAGTGTAACAGGGTGGTCCCCAGGAAAGGGGGAGGTTCCCTGCCCCACCCAAGGGAGGGTGGAGCTGAGCAGGAAGAGGGGAAGCTGAAGAAGAGACTGAGGAAGGAGCAGGATGGAGCCAGAAGGAGACCTGGAGGAGGCGCATGGAGCCTAGAGACACGTAAAGAAACTGTGCTTGTCTTTTGGTCGTGGACTGGGTGACACAGATGTGGGTGAGACCCGTGGGGAGGTGACAATGGCAGCTTTTATCTTGATGTTGATTTTGCTCTTTTCCTTCCGGGCTTGTCCGGTTGTTTGTGACCCTTTTCTGTGGGTCCCCACTGGAAGATGCTGTAGACTTGTAGCAGGCTTCGGGGCCTTGTTCTGGGCTGATCCCATATGGATGGAGTTTTACCCCCGAGGGGACGGGTAACTTTGGGTGCTTCATTTAGAAACTAGACTCTTTGCCTTACCTGTATTGTTTCCTAGTTTTATTAAAGTTCCTTCCCATTAAAGTCTCAAGTGTTTTATGTTGATGCGGCGGATGGCAGAACCCATTTAGAATAGGCAGGTTTGCGGGGTTTGGGCTGCCCCTCTCCCTGTCCTATAACAAAAGCTCATGCTTTGGAGCCACCCAGACACACAATTTGGAAAATATGTCTCTTATCAAATCTTCCTCCATATTTTGTGTCGAGGTCCAGGGGTATCTGTGCGGCATTCACCTTTCTTTCTGGATCTTTCCCTCTTGGAGTTCTGTAGAGAAAATGGAGGCAGGGTGTGGAGGTGATAAAACTATCTCCTTCTCCCCTTCTCCCCCCACCTGCATTTCCTATAAAGACTTGTTTTCTATTTCACAGTCTGGCCGCCTTCCAGCCAGGCCTAAGGTTGTTGTCTAAACGTTAGTTTCTTGTTGGGGTTTGGGTGTAATAAGGAAGTTGTCAAGTGAAACTGTTTTTTTTTTTTTCCCCAGTATAGCTGACCTAAGCCTCCTATCACCAGAGGAGCGGGAAGCTGATCACTGGGATAGGACTGAGGGCGGTCCCTGAATTGAGGTCCTGTGAGCTCAGCTCCCGGGAGATGTGTGTATGTATATATATATCCTTCTATCTGACTATACCCAGCACTTCTGAAATACTAGCATTTGGGAGCAGCACCAGTAGCATCTCCCCGCGCCAGTGCATTTGGACCTGCTACCCCTTATCAGACACAACTTCCTGCCACTGAGGAGCGGAGCCCAGCTGCGGCACGTCCAGCCCCCTCGTGAGGATGTCTCTGCAGAGCGTGTCCCGGGACAGGAGCGACCTTCATGGTCTGAGGTTGGTGGAAAGATACTCTTTCTATAGGGTGGGTGGAGCAGCGGGTGGGTACCTTGGGCCTCTGAGTGGAGGCCAGACCTGCATCAGCTGCTGGGTCTAGTCCTGGTTCTGCTTCTAGCTGTTCCCTCCTCTAGAATGGCGGCAGGTTTACTACCTCTCCTGCTCATTTCCCCATAGCTTTGTAGAGGTCAAGTTGTAGACGTCATGTGAAGGTATTGTAGACATCCTGTAGCCAAGAGTTTGCTTTCTGCTGTTTCAGTTACTCAGGATCAACTGTGGCCTGAAAACATTATGTACAATGAGATATTTTGAGAGAGAGAGAGAAAGAGAGAGTGAAATCATGTTCACATAACCTTTATCATAGCATATTGTTGATACCGGAATTGTCAGGCCTAGTCTCCCAGCCAGGAACGGATTCCAGGCTGCAGGGCAGCGCTGAGTCCCAGCCGCTAGACCCCCACGGGTTGGTGTCTCACGAAGCCGCAGCAGGAACTTCGCAGACGCTCAGGCAAGCAAGCGAGAAGAGGCAGGTTTGTTTAGAGAAAGAAAAAGTTTATTGAGAAGAAAAGGAACAGAAATAAAGTGGGACTCCCAGGCCAGGGAACCAGGCCTGGGAGGGGCAAGGAAGCCAAAGTGGAATTGTGTTTCAGGGAATATATACCTTTTTTCCCTCATTATTCTAAAACTTCACCAGTCTCTTTGTGATTGGTTAGTTCTCGGCTGTCTCACTTAATTTGCTACTGAGTGCGGGATCTTCACATTCCTTATCTAACAGCTTTGTCTTTCCCCATTTGTTGCATCTTTAAATTTTGGCCCAGTCCTCTGGATGGACATCCCTGCATTGAAGTTAAACAGCTGCCCTTCTAATGTGACCATAAATTAAACCACTCTCCATTTCTCCAATCTCCGCCTCCCTTTACCACCTGAAGGAAACCAGGACCAGCATTAACAATGTTGTCCTTGGTCCTGGCATGTTTGTTTTTCCTAATGGAATTGGTTATATTTCTTTGGTTGTCCTTATCTCTGAAGCCTCCCTAAATTCTTCAGAGGTCCCCTCCTGCACTGTCCCTAAAACTGCCTATAACCCTAGCTTGCCCTGTCTCATTCCCCCCTTTTACAAATGGAGCCCTAACTGCAGTTAGGGAAAAGGGACGTAGGTCTGATCAATGACTGCTTCCTGCTGAGAGTGGGCGACGTGGGGATACAGTTAGGGTTCCACAGTAGGATGACGATTTAAGGGACCCCGGAAGATGGACCGTGGAGACGTCTTTTTGGGTTTCATTTGCAGGACCATTTGGAGCTTGATGGCCTCCAGGCGAGCGGAGATGATTCCGAGGAGAGTATTAAGGATGCAGGGCCCAAACAAAAGAACAATAAAGAGAATTATTTAGTAAGGGAAGGAGAAAAGGCAGTAGCCAGGACAGAAGTTGTCCTTTTATAGAAGCAAAGATTGCTTGTGTTCAGCTAAGCCCTTGCCCTGTCTGTTTTTTGACATTATTTACAATTTGTATATTTTTTTTAGTATTTTTAAAATTTTTTTTTTTTACCTCATGAGAAGTATTTATTTAAAAGTAACATGTTTTATTTAAGAGGGCACAAACTCCTTTAACTTTAGCCATCGGCAGGTCTAGGGTTCTGTGATTTTATATTACCACTAAGACTAGGGATTTTAAGGAGTAATGTTGGGCTAGTGCCCCAAACACCTGGAGGTGTTGTAGCCAAAATGACAGAATTAGTGAGACCTAGGACTTTAGTACCATTTTGTATTTAGTAGCAGCAGCTAGGAGAGCCAATAGTGGCTGTGGAGGCTGCTAGTTTGGAATTTAGTTACAATTTTTTCCATCTTAATAGTTAGGAAAACAAAACTAAAAATGTATAAACAAGTAGCCCTGTAGCCAGCAAGGTAGGAGTGTTGTAAAGTATCCTGGCTCAGGCTGGCCATCTGTACTAGTGAGGGGGACAATTGACCAGTAGGTCAGTCTAAAGAATTGGAGTAGGACAGAGTAAGTGGCCCCTTAATTACCAAAAAGGTGATTTTTATGTCTGCCACCCTTAGAGTCACCCGAGGCTTGTCCATATAAACAGTAAACAGGGGAGTCTCTCTCACCTCTGGGCTTCTTCAGAGAAGATCTTCACCTGCACCAGGTTCTTCATAGTCAGAGGCAGCTGACGGTCAAGTCTGTCCTCCCATCCTGGCCCGTGGTTAGGGCTGGCCTCTCCCTCTCTGGAGAGTGGGACAGTCCCTTTTTTTCGTGCCCTGTGTGATGGCAATGAAGGCAAGGCCCTGGGGACAGCTTCTTGCAGCTGAGGTGTCCTGGTTGCAGGCAGTGGAAGCAAGCTGGCAGCCCATTAAGAGGTTGAGGTCCCAAATGCCCTAGGGTGCATGGGGCCTTGGGTGAGTCTGAGGTAGCAGGGTACTAACAATGGCAAGTGCCATTTACTGGCCCTTCTCTTGCCTTTCTCCCTTTCTTTTTAGTCTAGTTAGTCCCTTTCATATTACTATGGGCCTTGAAGGCCGTGTTTAAAAGTGTTAAAAGGATTTTAAACCCTTGACTTAGTCTCTGAAGTTTACACCTGATGTTAGAGGAAGGCTGACTAATGAAGGAGACTGAGACCCTTAAATTGTTTGTCTTTTTTTGGGTCTAGATTAGTATACCTTTTTATAGCCTCAGTAAATTTAGCCTGAAATGACTGGCTTATTAGGTTTTTAAGAAGTCTTATGTATTTCAGAATAATTTTATTTGTGTACATTTATGTTGAAAAGGTGAAACAATTTTATGAGAATACTGTCTATGAGGTATCAATATACCCAAATTGACTCAGTTTGTTTTCACAACAAGAAACAATTTTATATATCAAAATAACTAAAGCCTGGTGCCACACAGGTGCACAACTGACACTTAAGTTAACCAAAATATTTCATGGCAAGTCACTTGAGAACACAAAAGTTTTCTGTCAAAAATTCCTCACTCAGACCTTTAACACTTTTTTTTTGTCTTTTTTTTTCTTTCTTTTAAAACACAAGCACACCGTACTTTACTTGTATCCAGAATTATCACACCTTAGTTTTCAATTTCTGCATTGCAAGACACCACAATAGCCGTTACACTATTATCTCTTCAGACTACACAACTTACAGACACATTTTTCAATTTTTTTTTTTGTTGTTGTTGTTGTTGAGATGACATTAAACTTTAGTTTCCTTACAATAAGGAGCAAAATGTAAACCTGAAATTTCAGAGATTGGTTAACAAATTTTATTACTCAATTTAGCAAAAACCTTAGTTTAGCTTTAGGTTTTTTTTTAGAACTGGAATTTTAAGTCAACTGCAGAGTTGCCACTGTAACAATTTTATATACCAAGTTTTTTAGGCAAGCACTAGATAGATTGACAAAAGCAAGAAAAAAATTAGACACTTAATACCATAAACATTTTTTAGTAACTTGTCCATATGGTTTTAGATGTTATCTTGAATTCTGTAAAGAAATATAGTCATTTACTGGGAGAATATATTGTTTTTCCAAGGGGAAAAGACAAGTAAATTAGTCTTCCTGGAACAAGATATTATCAAGAGATAGAAGCCTAGGAGTAAGTTTTGTTTGTTTGCATAGGCCAGGTTAATTATTATTCCTTTTGTAGAGCATGAGTAAACACATTTAAACAACGTAAAGTATTAATACCCAACATTAAAACCTTAAGGCATGTATGCTTTTTAAACCATTACATTTTGAATTAGATTTTTTTTTTTACCACAATTTTAGATCGCGATCTCAAAATTTAGGATTTTTTTTTTTTTAATAGGCGCCATTTAAAATTAATCCTCCGGAGGCAAACAGCAAGAACAAAGAGATCTCTTGATTTCCATTTAAAAATTTTTTTCCATGTGCACTTATTTCAAGAAACAGTTATTTTTACCAATATTTGTAAAGACACTGAGAAACTACGATTTAGTAAATTTTTTTTTTAGTAACAATTTTTTTGACACATTTATTTAACCAAGTTTTTAATATCCTTCTTATATTAAGCAGGTTTTAAATGACATAGAAGTTAGAATTCTTACATAGAACAAGTACCCAATTTTAACCCTTACTTAAAACCGAGGGTCCAACCAAAACCACAACAATTTCAAAGTTAAGCAGTTTGTACTAACTTTCTTAGACAAGAAAAACATTTTTAAGTTTGTATTTTTAAGTATTATTAATTGGCTTTACATTGTTTTAGTTTTGTCACACTGAGACCAAGCACATTTTTAAGACAAAAGACATTTTTCTTTTTAGAACCATGTATGGAGAGGACAGGAGAAGAGGAAGAATAAGATTTTTTCCTGTACAGTTTGCCTGTTTTTTTTTTTTTTTAAACTCTTATCAGAAATTAATTAGTCTTAATAAGAAACTAAACTTTTACAGGTCCAATAAGCAGTTTAGAAATTGTCACTTAACCAAAAATCACCTTTTATGGCTCGTTAGCAAGTCCAAAGTAACTCAGCAGTTTTTACCTTTAATATTTTAGACTTTAAAATCAGAAAAACACAGGGACATAGAACTTTTTCCCTAGCATGAACCAAAACAGTTTTTTTTTTTTTTTAAGGTGGACAAAGGGAGAGTGTAGTTCCCCCACAACTGGAAGGCAGCAGAGACACACCAATAATCTCAACACTGGAAAAAAATAATCCAGGCAGCTGCTTATTGAGAGCAAAGGCAGTCTTTTTTACCAGCCAGCTGTAGTGGACCCCTTTAATTATTAGTCCCCAGCATTTTGTCTTTTTGTCTTGACTGTGACCAAGGAGGGTTAGCTGGAGAAGATGTCATTTATGGCCAAATTGGGCTAGTTTTTAAGAATGTGGCTTACGGGCATGTCCCATGGAATTGAGATAGAGCATTTTATGGTCTCTGTAGCAATAAAAGAAAGGTACCCGCAATGGCAGCACAGAGACAAAGCAGGGACATTCCTGCAGTTAAGTCAGAGGTCGTCCCATTCGACCAGGACCATATATCATGGTCTCTCGACTGGCTCTCAACTCTAGGAGGCCAGGAGAGTTGTCGAGACTTGGGTCTAAGTAACTTACTAAGAGAAGCAACAGGTGAGATAGGAGACAATTACTCCTGAAAATTGGTCTCAATTCTAAGATGCAGGAGAGACACGTGTCTCCTTTGCAAGGCTGAGGAGGAGGCTCCCATCTGCAAAAAGGAATGAAAGCAGGAATCCAACATCTGCTTCTTTCCCCTTCTATCTATAGGAGAAAACCTATAGACAGGTTAAATTACCGGAGGCGTCCCTCCATTTAAATCTGGAGCTCTAACTGTGAGTGATCAACAGTTTCCTCGCATAGGGTCTACTGGACTTAATCACTCCCTTACCAGCGTGACCAATTTGATCTTGGCACTGTCTCCCACCGAACAGACAGGCGTGGGGTACCAGACTTTGTGGGATCCTACCGGCGTCCCCAATCCAGTCCTTGTACAAAGGGCACCTATTCCAAGCTTCTAGAGAGTTTAAGCCATTCTCCTCATCTGATGAGAGAGACCCTGAAAACACCTGAACAGTAGAGACTTAACACAAGCCACAGACCAAGTCCTACGACTTAACTTTTAATGATGTCCATTTGTCAGACAACAAAACTGATTCCTTTTTTCTTAAGCCATAGCCCTTAAAGTGGCAGTAGCCCAGAACCTGATATTTACTCGTCTTAAACTCCCTTTTGAAAAACTGCCATGAAACAAATTTATAATACCAAAAGTATAATTAATTAGCTGGACCTAGGATTTGAGGCAAAACTGTACATACATTCCTGTCATAATATGAAACTCAGCCTCTCCTGCCTGTGCCAACCAGCAGGATTAAAACCGACACCAGGGAAAAGGCTCCCAGAGGTGCCCCAAGATTTTTATAAGACCATTTTGTAACTTATGTTTATAAGTTGCCTTGATAGAAGCTGAAAGAAGTCCATTCTATAGGGGAGGGATCAAGAAGGTGAAAGTCCCCCTTTTTTTTTTTGTTTGGCCTCCGTGACTCTCGCCTAGGTGCCGACCTAGCAGAATGCCTTGTCTGAGCCATCGGATCTCCTGGGTGTCCAGGGTTCCAAGGGTCACAGCTTGGTCGTTCTGAGCACCCTCGGAGTCCACGGATGATAGAGGAAAGTAGGAATCAGTGACAAGAGAGTCCCGACATTCCCACTCAGCAAGTGGGGGATCAGGAAGTCTTGCCAGCTGAGAAACCTGTCACCCGAGACTTTAAGAATGGCGGCCTCACGCTAGTCGCTTTTACCGGGCCGACGGGTGCCCATTAATTTTTTTGCAATCAAATATAGGACAGAGAAAAAGTTTGTGAAATATCTACTGCCTGTCTGAAGCCCACAGGTAACAGAGAAGCAAATCAGTTGCATTGCAAGAGAAGGAAGAATGGAAAGGGAGAGAGAGAGCAAGGAAAGATAAGAGGAGCCATTCTAACAATCCTAACAGGGATCTGAGGCCAGGGTAGGGTTCTGTGTCGGATCCTGTGTGGTGCTTAGTGAGGAATGACTTTCCCAATTGTCACATTGGGACCATTCATCCTCCACTGTGTCTCGGCAACTCCCCCTCTGCTGAAGGCAAGGGAGGATGGCCCGAGCTGCTGGGAGATCAGCCCCTTATGTGCAGCTCCCGGACGGCCTCTACATGACGTATGTGCCTAGCTCTTCGGAGACCGGAGTCCCTCATACGACGACACCAGACTTTTATTCTTTACTGGCAGATGGGCTAATCCCCTTACCTGGTCTGGTCACCAGTTTATCCTTTCACAGGAATCTTTAAGGCAGTCGCCCTTTGGCATTTACTGACTGTGCTGTGTCCTTTTTATGGCCTCTTTGATGGCTCCGAGAGAAAGAAAATGTTTAGCAAGCTGAAGATAGAAACAATTTGTGCCTCTCGGCTGACTTACCCAAAATCTTGTGAGATCCCGGACGAGCCCCCAAAATGATACCGGAATTGTCAGGCCTAGTCTCCCAGCCAGGAATGGATCCCAGGCTGCAGGGCAGCGCTGAGCCCCAGCCGCTAGACCCCCACGGGTTGGTGTCTCACGAAGCCGCAGCAGGAACTTCGCAGACGCTCAGGCAAGCAAGCGAGAAGAGGCAGTTTGTTTAGAGAAAGAAAAAGTTTATTGAGAAGAAAAGGAACAGAAATAAGTGGGACTCCCAGGCCAGGGAACCAGGCCTGGGAGGGGCAAGGAAGCCAAAGTGGAGTCGTGTCTCAGGGAATATGTAACTTCTTTCCCTCATTATTCTAAAACTTCACCAGTCTCTTTGTGATTGGTTAGTTCTCGGCTGTCTCACTTAATTTGCTACTGAGTGCGGGATCTTCACATTCCTTATCTAACAGCTTTGTCTTTCCCCATTTGTTGCATCTTTAATTTATGGCCCAGTCTTCTGGATGGGCATCCCTGCATTGAAGTTAAACAGCTGCCCTTCTAATGTGTCCATAAATTAAACCACTCTCCATTTCTCCAATCTCCGCCTCCCTTTACCACCTGAAGGAAACCAGGACCAGCATTAACAATGTTGTCCTTGGTCCTGAGATGTTTGTTTTTCCTAATGGAATTGGTTATATTTCTTTGGTTGTCCTTATCTCTGAAGCCTCCCTAAATTCTTCAGAGGTCCCCTCCTGCACTGTCCCTAAAACTGCCTAATAACCCTAGCTTGCCCTGTCTCATTGTTATGGCCATTCTATTTATTATCGTTGCTTATCTCTTACTGAGTCTAATTTATAAATAAACTTTACATCATAGGTATGAACGTATAGAAAAAAACGTAGTAAATACTGGGTCAGGTGTTATCTGTGGTTTCAGGCATCCCCTGGGAACCTTGGAATGTCTCCCCTGGATAAGGGGGTACTACTATACCCAGTAAAAGGAAACAGCATTGACTGGGAATACCACCACCTATGGGTGCATCAGAGTTCTATGATTTTAAGGCCCTTGGAAGTTTGTCCCAGAACTAGGCGATCTTATGAAAAGAATTCAGGGGGCCTGCTGTTCTACCGGGGATTTGATGGGGAATTCTAACATTGCATTGCCTGCGGTTGGGACAGAGGGAAGTGGGGTTGAGTGGGGGCATTTCCAGAGCACAGACTCTAGCATTAGGCGGGGAGATGGGGTGACCGATTTTGGAGTTCTCTGGCTTTGTGGATGCCATGCCCGCCGCCCCCACCCAGGTGTGCCCCACTATGCTGAAGTCTCACCATTAGGGAATCTATTCTTTTGTGTTTTGAAAGAGCACCCAAGGATGAAAATCCCTGCTCTTCTGGAAAATAGGTACTGGGTGATGACTGTGTTTGGTGGTGATGATGACAGAAAGATGCAGGCTGGCCCAGGGAGAGCTGACATCCCAAGAGTATCATGGGGCCACTCAACAAGGCCATGGTCCATCCCTGCCTGGAGCCCTCCATCCAGGCTCTGGCCACATGCTTTTAGTGGCAAGGACTAACTGGGCAATATCTGGGGAAGGGTGCCTATGTCGGGGACTAGCCTAGAAGCAGGGTGACTGGAAGAACAACCAGGAGGCCTGAGAATTCGGGGGTGATAGAGTAAAGAGAGCACACTGAGGGGGTTAAGTGGCCTCTCATTAGGGGAGTGAGGGATGACTACTCAGTCTAAGGAGGACTTCTTTAAAATCCAGCTGTACAAGAGTGGAATGTTCTGCCTTGAATTGTGGTGAGTTTCCACTGTGGGGAGTGTTCCCACAGAGGGTGAAGTCCTCCCACCAGGAATGTGGCACAGAAGGGTCCTCTGCTCCAGGAGCTGGGTGTGATGCATGTCAGATCTCTGCCAACTCTAGGAACTTAGATGAGGGGGTCCTCAAAGGAGAAGGTACCCCTTGGGTTGTTACTACTTTACAGCTGGGTGGATCCAGTGTGGAGGGAAGAGAGGACTGCCTTGTGCTCTGCTCGAGTCCTGTGGTAGAAGTGAGGGTGTCCCAGGAGGCCCCTGGCTCCACTGCATGTGAGCCGCGGATGGCTGCCACACTAGGCTTTGAGCTCAAATGGCCACAGAGCTCACCCAGAGGGTTCGGAGTGTCCATGGGGTCCCCTGAGCTGATAAGAAATAAAGTTGAGCTCAGGGTGCAGCCCTTGACCCTCTGACCCACCCTTGGCTTCCTGCCCAGCAGCCTGTGACCACCTCCTCTCCCCATGTTGACAGGCTTGGATTTGGGGCATGGGTGTCTATACTTGGGCACGTGTGGATGTGTGATTCTGTGTGTACGGGTCACAGCTGGTGTTTGTGGGATATGGTTATCTCTGTTGGTGTGAGATAGTAGATTCCCTCACTTCTAAGTGTGTGTGTGTCTGTGTGTGAGTCTGTATCTATATTTATGGGAGGCCACTTGGTAGAGGAGCGAGAAGAAAGGAATTAGAAACCAGAGGAGTGGACTCACACCCCAGTGCTCTCTGATTCCTGTGAGACCTTGGACAAGTCCCTTCACTGCTCAGGGTCTCATTCCCCACTGCCAGCTCGTCTGGTTCCCAGGGGCAGGGCAGCAGGAAAGGGTGTCCTGGAAGCCGGTGCCAGCATACCCATGTCTGCATTTCTGGGCATTCCGTATCTGCTCTCACACACAGAGAGCCCCCAGGCAGCGTGGGCATGACAGGAATCGCCAGGCATGGTCCTCCCTATGGGACTCGGAATTAGATGGGGGGGGCAGATGGCAAACAGATCCCTGCAGTCATTCTCTTGCACTTGGAGTGGGGAAAACATACGTGTTGTGAATCATGTAGCTTTACCGTGAGTGTGTTTCCGTGACAGGAGTGTCTCCGCCTGTCGTGGCTGGTATCATCCTAGTCTGGGTGACTTATAAACAACAGAAATTTGTCTTTCACAGTTCTAGAGGTTGGAGCCCTAAGATGGAGGTGCCTTAGATTGAGTGTTTTGGGAGGTCTGCCTGGTTCGTCGACTCTTTTTTTCTGCATCCTCACCTGGCGGTAGGGATGAGGGTGCTCCTTGAGGCCGCCTTTACACGGGCAGTCACCCCTTACACGAGGACTGTGCTCTTATGACCCAACCACCCTCCAAAGTCCCACCTCCTAACCCCATCACACTGGGCATTAGAATTCAACATATGAATTTGGGGGACATAAGCATTCATTCCGTAGCGATGAGCAGCTGCGGGCGTCCACTCTGGCCCACAAGCGAGTTCTACTCACGCTGTCCCTCGGAGGGGCTGGCATGGGCATGCGGCTGGCCGACTGTTAGGCGTCTGTTGTGTGAAGGGCAGGGTGGAGTGAGGGAGCAGCAAAATATCTTCATGTAATGGCACCAGGGCAGCTACAGAGTACGCAGCTGGGTGAATAAACGAGACAATGATATCTCGATGAGGTCAGCGTGTAATTTAGAAAATTAACCCAAACAGCAGCATGCTTGGGAAAAATCGGCATGCTTTCTTGTCCACAGTAACTCAAGGTCAGCTCTGCGTGCTGCTTTCTTTGGTACTTTCTTCTTGTTTTTGAACACGTCACTGGAGCATGTCATGTCTTATCAGAAGCCCTGTGATTTGCAGATCACTTGGGTATTTCTGGGCAGACTTGGACTTTGCTCCGAAAGCCACTTTCTGCCAAGTCAATAAACAAGTTGACAAGAGCAGCTGGGTTTCCAGGCTGAGGGTCTGCTGCTGTCTAGGGGATCCCCACCTGGAAGCTCATCCTGGCTAGAGTGCGGATCCCAATTGTCAGGCCCAACGTGGGGGAACCCTCAAGCAAAGCAGGGGACTTAAAAAAAAGGGGGAAGGAAAAAAGAAAGGCTTGCTGTGATGAATTCTGGGAAAGCAGACATTTACAATCAGAAAAGATGATCTTTTAGCACATGTAGAATTTGGTGGGGGTGTGTGGGGTATAACATTAAAACACAATCTTCTCAGGACTCAGAGACTTTAAAAATCTGAGCACACATTGACCACAGAGAGGCTCTTCCATGGGGTTAACTTGGAGGTGGGTGGCTTGGCCACATCTCTCACTCCCGGCCTAGCATTGGAAGGCAGAATCTTTGGAACATAGAGGAGGAGTAGGCAGAGCTAGGAGAGCTGGGCTGAGCTCCATCACAGCCGCCCAGAGAGGACGGAATCACAAGAAGAAAGAAATGGACATGGTGTCAAACACTGCAGCTCCTTTAGGGAGGATGAGGAACAGGAAGAGGCCCCTGGATTTGGAATTAGGAGGCCTTGGGGAGACTGGAGTCTCCTCAGTGGGCAAGCGCTCCTGGTCACAGAGGCTGCATATCGCCCACTGAAATGACATCGAGAAGGCAAACCATTGCTCGGTGGAATTGTATTGACACTGATTAGATAAGCAGTGGTATGATCTTGGAATCAGTTATGAGGTCGCGGTGACCATCAGCAAAGGTGAAAACTGTTTCTATAGCAACGGCAGCTGTTTAAGAGATGACTGTGCTTCTTCTCCCAGTAGCTGGGTGAGGATACTCTGGCCCTCTGTGCAATGGACCCCCGGAGCCAAGGGGGTCGAGTCGAACAGGCGTGTGTTCAGCTAGCTTGGTGTTTTGTTATTGAGCAGTTTCTCTGCCAGCCTCGTCTAATTTCCCCTGAACACAGGAGTAAACAGAAAAGGCAGAGAGAACCCCAACACCATTCAGGAAATATTTCTGGCTCAACTTGGATCTTAAAATCAATTAGATCTTCAACCTAAATTTATCTTAAGACTGAAGAGAGCGAGTAGGGAGTCAATCATTCCTGGCGCCACCACCTACTCTCACCCCAATTCCGGTCATTGGAGGAAGACCAGGCAATCTTTGAGGGTACACACCCCATTTTGTTCACTATCATATCCCAAGCATAATTCCTGGTACAGAGTAGGTGCTTAGTAAATGTTTGTTGAAAGGAATAAATAAGAAGGAAGAAAAATATTTTCTCCTATGATTGCTTGTCTGTATTCCTACTTCCCACCATATTTTGGAAGCTCAGCTGTAAGGTAGGTCTGAGGCTTTCGAGAACACTAATCCTCTTCCATATAAGGTGCAGAAGAGTATTGCTAGAAGTTTTCACGTAGCCCAGACATTCATTTTAAGGAACATTAAACAACAAATAAAGCCTTTTAAACTGCCTGCTTCCTCCCAGGTCTGTTTTCTCATTTCCTCCAATATTGTCCACGTGCAGATGTCCAGCAGGGCCCGCGGTACCTGTGGCCTCTGACCACCCTCCCCTGTTCTCCCTCCCAGCTTGAAGAAGGAATGGCACCCTGAATATAACTGTCACCTTCAAATCTGTTTCCTCACACCTTTTCTTCTCTCCCTTTATGTATCTTCTTCACATTCACAGGGCCCCCCATCCTATGAAATTGAAGTTATAGATTCTTTATTTTTGGGGGGCCTCTAAGCTGGATATAGCAATGGAGTACATGTGGGGGAACCCTCATGTACTGAGTAAATGGGTAAGTTGGTAAGTGAGTAAGTTGGTAATGCAGGAGATGTGCCGTAAATACGTAACACAAACAATATTACAAAAATACATAATACGCAAATAATCCATAAATGTACAATGAGGCTAGAACTACAAATGAGAGAGAATTGGAAGTCCATGAATGTAAACACCACAGGAATCTCTGGGAGGACAGGCTTGAAATTCAAAAACCGTATTTTGTTTTCCTTTTAACTTCTACCCCAAGTGCAAAGAGTTTCTAAACAACTGTGGAAGAATTAAATGGTCCCCAGAGTTTCAGATCAAAGATGCCCTGACTGCACTACTCATGCCTGGCCTGCTTAAAATGCCGTCCAGGATGGGGCAGTTCTTCCATCTTTCCCAGGGGCAGCTTGTTGTTCCAGATGGAGAACGAAAGGCTTGGTTCAGGTGTGTTCATGGGATGTTAACTACACCAAAGATGCTCATGTATTGTACAGTTTATTAGACGTTTGTGTTGTGCATTTACTCATTTGTTTAATGCCTGACAGCTGGTGATGTGCCAGGCATGGGTCTAGGCTCTCAGAATGATGCTTTGGAGGTGGAGCTAACAGGTGGTGCCGAGGGCTCAGATGTGGGAAGAGAAAGAAAGGAGTCGGGGAGGGTTTCAACTTTTTGGCCTGAGCCTAAATCTCAGCTCTTGGAAGAACAGAGTTATCATTTACTGAACTGTCCTGTGAAAGATTCGTAACTGCTCTGCGCGAGACAGGCAGGTCTCAGGCAGGTTTTGGATGAGGACACTGGGCCAGAAAAGGTACATTAACTGCCCAAAGTCCAGGGGCAGGACGTGGCTTCTGGCTCAGGCTGTATTGGTTCCCTGTTGCTGCTGTAACAACATACCACAAACTCAGTGACTTTGGAACAACACGAATTAATGGCCTTACAGCTCTAGAGGTCAGAAGTCCAAACTAAATCTCAATGGGCTCTTCAAGGTGTCATCTGGAAAATGAGGACAAGGACACCCTTGCCTTTCAGGGTTATTGGGGAATTTAAACCAAAAACAACAGCTTTGAGAGGTTGCTATACTCATACTCACCGAGTTGGGGTGAGGGTGGCTGGGCATGGGGTGAGCATTATTAGCCCATCTCCAGTTTCGGGTAGGCCTCTAAGGGAACTGTTTTCTTTGGTTGCAGCATGCTGGAAAACCCCCAGGGCTCAGCTCCATCCGGGAAAGCCAGGTCTCTGGATAACACCCCCTCCAGGGCCAGCAGGGCCAGAAGTCCTGAGAGCCCTGTGCAGCCTGCAGAGGCTCAGGTCTGCATGGCCGCAGCTCCCAGTGTGGAGGCATCCAGTGAGCTTCTCCCCAGCGAGCAAAGTACTCCCCCGGATGCCAAGAAGGACAAAACCCAGAAGTGGCACCAGCAGGGGTGGGTGAAGAGCTTCTTGAACTTCTTCCTGAGGTCAGGTCCTGAGGAGCCCAAAGAAAAGGCCGATAGGACAAAGGGGAAGGAAGGCCTCCCCCAGATCACAGAAATCCCTGTGCAGCCAGTCGTCAGGAAGAAATCCCACGACAAGAAGGCCAGCCGCAAGAAACACAGTCACAGGAAGTCTATTGTTGAGGAAATCACGGTGGTCCAAGATCAGGAGGCTGAAGGCCAAGAGGCAGGCCTGTCCACGGTGGCTGCTGCCTGGGGCTCGAAGAAGGAAGCCAACCTGGACCCAGCTGGCGGAGGTGAGCCTAGCAAACATTTCTATGGCACTCCTCCTGCCCCACCTCCAAAAGCTAGGGTGCTCTATGGTGGCTCCTCAAACCTCTCAACAGAGGGGCCCTGGAAGATGGGGCAACCATCAGGGACAACACCACTGAAATTTCTTTGAGGCAGGCTGGCACAGTGACTGAAGCCCCGGAGGTCAGACCCCAGTTCCACCACTGACAAGCTGGGGCCCCGGGACTGGCAGCTTTCCCTTCTGAACCTTGGTTTTTTCATAGATAAAGTGGAGATAATAACTATTACTGTCTCGTGGGGTGGCACCTGGAAAGTGTCTTATAAATAATCATTATTATTATTATTGAGTGCTCTAGTTCAAGGAACAAGGAGCAGGGACAAATGGGAACAAATGGGAAGGTGGAGGGGGAGGGAAGCCTCACCCCCACACTAGTCACACCCGCCCTTATATCTGACTGGGGGTGGGTGGCTGGGAGGAGAAAGAGCTGGCCGCTGGGGTGCTAGCTCTGGACTTATCTAGACCTGGTACTAGCTCTAGGAATAAACTTGCTGTATGACCTTGAGCAAGTTGCTGCCCTTCTCTGTAAACTTTGATCCCTCATTTATAAAACAAGGGATCTGGTCCCCACGCCACCTTCCTATTCCCACTCTAGGGTCCTGGAGTTGATGCCCCCCCAGGGCTGGTAACACTCCAAACTCCCCACGTTTCTAATGGAGTGGCGGGACCCTAGGAAAATCCAGGAAGTTTGGGGAGGGAGGGAAGGTGTCTGATTTTTCTCTTTTCAGATGGCAACTTTGGCAGGTTCCTGATTTTTGGGGTACAGTCTGGAGCTGGCTACAGCTGTATCAGTCCCACTGGGAATTCTGTGCCATTTTCTTGGGTTGATGAACAAAGCCAGAAAAATGTCCCTGACACACCCACCCACACTTGCTTTTATCTTCCTTCCAGGCGGGGAAGACTCTGATCTCTACCATCCTGGGCTCATCAAGCGTCAGGGCTCTGGTGTCTCGGCGGCTGCGCCCCAAGACTCTGGTCATCAGTCAGAAGAGACGCCCAGAAAGTCTGACAGTGAGTCAGAATCTACTTGGTGTCCTCTGTGCCTGCAGCTAGCCACACACCCCCAGGACTGGCAGCTTTCCCTTCTGAACCTCAGTTTTTTCATAGATAATAATTAGCCAGGAATGACTAGACCAAATGGATGGATTGTCCATGGAAGACTAGGCCTTGAACGTAGCTCTCAAAATATGTGCCCGGGTCCTGCCCCTTCTGGTGCTTCTGGGCACATTGATTTATCTTAGAGTTTCAGGAAGGAGTCTCAGAAATTAGAAAGGTCACTGGCAATGTCCCTGCCTATGTGTTAATGAGAATGAGACTTTTAAAAGTCTTTTAAATTTACAGGAGGAATATAGACTAAAGAGAGAGAGAATTTTTATATTTTTAAATCAAACAGTAGACGCACACTCATATACTCACAGCTGCTAACAGTTGGCCGTATGTACTTTGCATGCATGTCTGTCTGTGTCTGTGTGTGTCATTTTATTGCTGAATCATTTTCAAGTAAAACCATGCTTCCTCCCTAAATACTGAAGCACGTGTCTCCAAGAAATAAGGATAGTCTCATATACCACCCCAATACTGTGCTGCCCGGAATAAAATCAATAATGTACTATTCATCTAATTCCCTACAAAGAATGGGAACTATTTAAAAGATATGAAAAGGAAGTGCTACACATCTGTGAACACATAAGTAAATGGCATTTATTTTATTAGTTCTCAGGGTGTTTATTTTACATGCTAATTGTTTATTCCTGTGAGAGGGAGTGGGTTAGTGGAAGGAGTCTAAGCATAGACGCCAATTAGGATGTATGCATGACAGGGAAATGAGGAGGAGAGTGAGAGGCAAAGCTGAAGCCAATGAGGGAGCAGGAATCTTGTCTGTTCCTCTTTTTCTATGAATTCATAAATTGGCAACTCACAGAGGCCACTTGGGCCTCTGTGTTTGGAGAGGTCCACTGGAGGACCCAAGGAAATCATTTCTGTTGTTTGTGGCATCTCTGTAAAGAGGGTAATGAGGCTGAGGCGTCAGTGTGGCAGACTATCTCTTCATGCCTGCTGGAGTCCACCATTCTCCCCTTAATTAGGCCAGGTATCTCTATGACCCCACTGGGGTCAGCATTAATCTGGCAGAGTATTTCCAAGCACAATTTCTCATCTGAAGACCTGACAGCCTTCCGAGGCAAGCAGGACAGGCTGATCCACATTTCCCAGGGGGAGAGGCAAAGGCTCAGAAAGGGTAAGAGACTTACCCAAGCTCACACAGCTTGCCAAACCCAAAGCAGCTATTTAATCTGCAATGGCCCAAGAGAATAGGAGGCTCAAGTTGAATATTGCAAGGACTGACCTGATATTTCTTGCATAAAATTTCATGCTTTGACTTACCCTTTCTATGTGGATCCTCCAAACATCTTGGAAAGAACAACACCTAGTTTGTGGTGATTTCCCCACTTCCATTGTCTAAAGAGCTGTTTTTAGAGGACTTTCATTAAATACATGTTGGTCTCATAATCCAAGCCAGTCATCAGAAAGAGTTCTCTCTGCATTCAGGAAGATTAACAAGGCACATTTGCTTTCTTCTAGGGGATTCTATCATCCAGACCATAGTAGAACTTATCAAGAAAGTGGCAGATTATTGTGAAAAAGAGGTGAGTAGCAAATGTCCGCATGGATCCCAGGGTCTTGCTGCCTTCTGCCCTTCTCCCTGATCTACCTTACCTGTCCTTCGGGGCCTCTGTGGTCTCCCTCCCCTGAGCCACCCTGAAGCTCTTTCTCACTCATCTGCTTCTGGGGAGCTTTCTTTGCTCAATATCATGGCCTTGACTCAGTTTCTCTCACCTCCCCACAGAATGGAGCAGGAGCTGCAGATGCTTCCAATTTGGAATCCCAACCCCCCAGGAGGCCCAGCCACCTGCCTCCGTATGATGGGAACCAAAAGCATCCCATCTCCAGCAGTTCTGGTGAGCAGACCCACAGTTGTCACAGCTACAATGCATCTGTCTTCAGCTCTGGAAACTTCCCCAAGGCTGGAATTGGCCATTTTAAGTGCTGCCATTCCAGTGCTGGGTTTTGTTCTGCCCTGATTAGTGTGGGGAGTCCTGGGGAGGAAAAAGCGGAAATTCAGGTGCATGGAAATGCAAAGAGACACAGAAGCTTGGCCAGGGCGGGTCTGCCCAGCCCTCATCTGTGGTAGCAAGGCCTTTGAGAAGGGCACGCTGGTGTCTCTGCTGACTTCAGTCCATGGGTTAACATCTTGGAAACAGAGCAATACACCTACCATTTCATTTTCCTCCTCAGACATGGAGAAACCCAAAGTCCAAGTGGCTCTGACCACAGAAGGTGGGGATCTAAGCCCCTTGGAGGCTTACCCAGGAGCAGGATGCCAGGAACCTGAAGAGGACTTGCCACTGGACAAAGTTTCTGAATCTAGTCAGTACCCCTCTCTTTTCTCAGACCTCCCTTGGGAGACCCATCCACTTGCAGAAGGAAAACTGAGTCAGTTTCCTGCCAGACCCGAAGTAAATGTTTGCATCTTAAAAGTTCAAAGGGGATAGGAATCATGTTGAGTACTTACAGATTTTCTCTTAAATATCATGTACCCGCCCCCAGTGGGTCGGCCAGCTTCTCAGAAGGACCAGCCTAGGGTGGTGGTTTTCCCCTTTCCTTGGCCTAAGGAGCTGTTTTCAGAGAACCTTCATTTAATACATGAGTCCAGGTTGGTCTCACAATCTAAGACAGTCTTTAGAAAGAGTTTTTGGTGCATCTAGAAAGCTTAACTGGGTCTATTTTCTCTCTTCCAGAGGAAACTATCATCCAGATCATAGTGGAATTTCTCAAAAAGGAGGTGAGGCGCAAACTCTACGAATCCCCAGGGACTTGCTGCCTTGACCCCTGCCCCCCTAGCCAACCTCACCTGTCCTTCCAGGCCTCTGTGGTCTCCCTCCCCTGGCTCACCCTAAACTGCTTGGTTAATCTTCTGTTGCTTCTGGGGAGCTTTCCTGTCTCCTCAAGATCAGGGCCTGGCTCAGTGCATCTCCTCTCTCCCACAGGAACTTCAAGTCTCTCAGCCAGAGGTGGTTCCACAAAACTCAGCATCGGCCCCCAGGAAGAAATCCCAGGAGAAAAAGTTAACTCTCAAGAGAGTCTTTTCTTATAAGAAATATGTATCTGAGGAGCCCAGGAAAGTGGGGGCTGCAGGTGCTGCCAGCCCAGAATCCCGGCCCCACAAGAGAACCAGCTTCCTGACTCGGTGTGTTGAGGGCCATCGACCCTCCGTCAGCACGTCTGGTGAGCAGGCCAGGTGTTGCCATCACACAACTGACTTGTTTGACTTAGTTGATTTCAGCTCTAGAACCTTCCCAGGACTGGAATTGGCCATTTTAAGTGCTGAGTTTCACTGCCATAAGCAATGTGGAAAGAAAAAAGGGGAAAGTCAGGTGCATGGAAATGCAAAGAGACACAGAAGCTTGGCCGGGGTGGGTCTGCTCAGCACTCACCTCCAGCAGCAAGGCCTTTGTAGCATGTGGCTGAGGAGGGCACACTGGTGTTTCTGCTGACTTCAGTCCATGGGTTAACATCCTGGCAACAGAGCAACACACCTACCATTTCATTTTCCTCCTCAGACATAGAGGAACCCAAAGTCCAAGATGCTCTGACCATAGAAGGTGGGGATCTAAGCCCCTTGGAGGGTCACCCAGGAGCAGGACGCCAGGAACATGAAGAGGACTTGTCACCGGACAGAGTTTCTGAATCTAGTCAGTACCCCTTTCTTTTCTCAGAGCCCCCTTGGGAGACCCATCCACTTGCAGAAGGGAAACTGAGTCAAAGAGAGACTGTGTCTTTCCTGCCAGACCCAAAGTAGATGGTTGCATCTTTTGTTTTTTTAAGATTTATTTATTTATGCATACAAGAACCGGGGTACAGGCCAGAGGTGTGGGGGGCGAGAGGATTCACCGGAGACAGAGCAGGCAGATCGACTGAAATACACTGCTGAGGGGAGCAGCGGGCAAGTCAGGAGAGGTCTGCTGCACCATGTGGGCAGCTCCCTGGCCGACAGGAGATAGAACTTGTGCTGCAGGGGCTGCGGATAGCTTCACAGTGCTGTGCTTAACCCCTTGTGCAACCAAGAAGGCCCTGCATCTTTAAATTTAAATGGGAATAGGGCTCACATTGAGTATTTAAATATTTTCTCTTAAATATCATGTTTTGGCTTAGTACCCACCCCTCCCCACCGGTGGGTCGGCCAGCTTCTCAGAAGGACCAACCCAGGGTGGTGGTTTTCCCCCTTTCCTTGGCCTAAGGAGCTGTTTTCAGAGAACCTTCATTTAATTCACAAGGCCAGGTTGGTCTCACAATCAAAGAGTCTTTGTGCATCTAGAAAGGATTCTCTGCATCTAGAAAGATTAACTGGGTCTATTTTCTCTCTTCTAGAGGATGCTATCATCCAGATGATAGTGGAATTTCTCAAAAAAGTAGGAGACCAGTATGAAAAAGAGGTGAGGAGCAAACTTCGTAAATCCCCAGGGACTGGCTGCCTTGACCCCTGCCCCTGCCTAACCTCACCTGTCCTTCCAGGCCTCTGTGGCTGCCCTCCCCTGGGTCACCCTAAAGTGCTTGGTTGTTCTTCTGTTGCTTTTGGGGAGCTTTCCTGTCTCCTCAAGATCAGGGCCTGGCTCAGTGTGTCTCCTCTCCCCCACAGGAACTCCCTCAGCCAAAGGTGGTTCCACAAAACCCAGCACCACCCCCCAGGAAGAAATCCCAGGAGAAAAAGATAAGCTTCAAGAGAGTCTTTTCTCATAAGAAATATGGATCTGAGGAGCCCAAAAAAGTGGAGGCTGCAGGCGGTGCCAGCTTGGAATCCCGGCCTCCCAAGAGGCCCAGCTTCCATCCTCTGTGTGGTGTGGGCCAGCGAACCTCCTCCAGCACATCTGGTGAGCAGGACAGGTGTTGCCATGGTAACAGAGGCTGCCTTTGGCCTGGAAGTTCTATGGGGGGTGGGATTGGCTACTGTTGGTTGTCAGGTTCAGTCCTGACTTTTACTCTCTGCTCTCAGGAGAGTGAGGAGATGTGGGAGGGCTCTGGAGAAGAGAGGGGCTGCTCCCCAGCAGCAGCTACTCTGCTGATCACTTGCCCTTCCCTTAAGGGGAGGCCACTTAAGAACAAATGTGTGTGAGAGCAGACATCTGCATATCACATAAGTGCAGCAGAACATCCAGGAAGGCTGAGGTTTGATGGGAAAAGGGCCTGGGCCTCTGCTGGTTAACTCTGTGAGGACTCCTGGTGCACTCATCTCCCTGACTTTGGGATTGCCTCCCACATGCCACTGCCATCCATACACATTACTTCCCTGCTGGCCTGGGAAGTCAGGTTGATGACTCCCTGCTGACAGGTGGAGAACGTGATGTTGGGTCAGGTGAAGTGACTGCAGGGCCTCACAGAGTTAAAGGAAAGTGGGCTCACTGGTGGGCTCTTGGTCGCCTCTTCATTCTCCCAGACAGTGAGGATGCAGGAGGATTTGGTGGAAGAGAGAAGAATGAGAAATCTGGAGGGGGCGAAGGGCACCATGAAATCCTCTGGTCTGAGGCGAGTCTAGCAGGGCTCTGGGAGAGTCAGGGAGGCACCTGGGGACCAGTACCCCTCAGTGCCAGCGCCTTTGGGCAGTTCTTATCAGAACCTAGAGTCAGCGTGAGTCTGTGCATTTGAGACAGGCACAAACCACTCACGCTTCACTCCCTTTTGCCCTCAGATCCAGAGCCAGAGCCAGAGGTCGAGCTCCAGGAGTCCTTGCCTGCAGAAGGGGTGCGAATTGGAGCCTCAGAAGCAGCTCCACAGGCCGGAAGCCACAAGGCCGAAGCAGGCCCTCAGCAGAATGGAGCATGTGAATTTAGTGAGTACCCCCTACTCTCAGCTAGCTGCCCTGGGGCGCCTCTTTGCATGGACTTCACAGATGAAATCCGAGAAGGGGCGCCTCCCTGGTGGTGCAGTAGACCTCTCCTGTCTCGCCTGCTGCTCCCCTCAGCAGTGTATTTCAGTAGATCCTTCTGTTCTGCTCCCTGTTCTGTCTCAGTGAATCCTCTCACCCCCTGCAACTCTGGCCTGTACCCCAGATCTTGTAGGCATAAATCAATAAATCTTTAAAAAAATAAAAAGAAATCCGAGTAGGGAAGTGGAAGTCAGCTGACAATAACCCAGGAGACTCTAGAAGGCAGGGAGGAGTCAGGGCTGGTCCTTCAACTGGGGCAGTTGGGGCAGAGCTGCAGGTGGAGAGTCTTCTTCAGGTAGAGAGCACCTGTCCATTCTGGGGGATGTGATTTTGCCCCACGCAAATCAATTTCCTAGCATGCCCTGGGTCTCATAATCGTTGGTGTGCTGGCAGACATGCTTGATTCGATTTGTAGTATTTGTGATTTCTATGTTATAAATATCCCCATCAAGGTGAACGTCAAGCTGCCAATAGTTTGTAATGACAAGTTTCCAAATTATTTACAGTTAATTCTTGGTCAAGCAGTCACTTGCATGCCCTTGTTTATCGCCCCGGTCCTGGGTGTGTATGTGCTGCTGTCTCAGCAACCCTGGCTATCCCTGAATTCTGATGAATAGCTTAATAGCTGAGTCCCATTCCAGGATAAGGGACATTGGGAGGTCTCAGTTTCCCCCTCTGTCAGATGGAACAAAGTAATGACGGCTGAGACTTGGCAGACCAAATTCTTCTCTTTCTATTAAGCAAAACCAAATAGCTCTCACGCTCCTGACTAGGGGAAGAATTTTCTTTGCTCGTCATAACTAACCCACGGGTGTGATTGGTGGATTTGTTATTGCAGAAGGTGTCAACTGTTCCTTCTTTATTTTCCTTAGAAGAGAAGATCTTCCAGAAGCTGGCGGCCATTCTCCAAGAAGTGAGTGACCAGCTGAGGGATCAGGTAAGACTGCTCACCCCTCAAAACTGACCATGGGGGTGGGGTCCTCTGCACCCCACATTGAGATCCGAGTAAAATTCCCATCTCTGCATCTAGGCACCTGTGGCATGTTTTTTGGCCTCTCTGAGTCTCAGCTTCCTCTTCTACAACATGCGAGATAAATACCTTTTTGACAAAGTTGAGCATAGACACATACAAGATGTGATAAATGTTAGTTTAAAATAATATAAAGCTCACGTGTGCCCCACCCTGCCAGCCAGGATCTCCCCCTATCCAAGTCCTCTGAAGTTCAGCTCTTGTGTCACCTCCCTGGAAGCCTCGCTCCCCACACCCCACCTGCCCGCCTGGCTGAGCCCTTCTTGCTGTCTTGGCCATGGCGTTTATATGGTCTCCAATTCTTTCAAGCACTTGGATTCTCCACCCCTCCCAGATAGCCTGGAATAGAAGTTTCCCTCACCTTGAAAGTCTCTGTCTACATGGAGAGACAAACACAGGTGGCATATAAAGGGGTGTCAAGTGTGGGTGCTGGCGAGAGATGAGGAATCGGTGTATCAGATGCTGTAGGTGCTTTGGCGCACACCATGGTGCACACTGGTCCAACTCAGGGGTGCCCGTGTGGGGTGGTCCCCAGAGCCAATTTCCCACCCATGTAGTAGGCCAGGGTCAACACCCCCCACTTCCCTGGAAGCAGCCCTCAACCAGTTGCCTAGGGCAGCTGGTATGTCCAGGCCCTAGCTCCCGTCATTCTTGGGGTGATCGCTCTGAGGAGTGTGTTCTACACTAGCATCCTGCATGCCCTCAGGAGAATGGCCATGTTAGTTCCCTTGGGGGCTGCCTTCCCATCCTTGGCCCAGGACTCCATTCCTCCATCAGTGCTTTCAGGATCACGTACCCCACAAATAGCTTCCCCTCAGTCCTCATCACTGGGTCGGCCACAGGGGGATCCTAACCAAAGACATTTAGGCATTAAAAGGAGGCATCTTGGGGTAGGAACTAGAATTCATCCAGCATCTACTCTGCAGGAAGCATTTGCATAACCTGTCTCACTGAGTCTCTTCTCCCCTACAACAACGGGTGGAGGGAACATCACACCCATTTTGCGCATGACCTGAAAGAGATTTCAAAGTGTCACACAGCTAGGAAATGTGACTCCAGCATCAGTTATCTGAGTCCAAAGACCTATACATTTTTTTCATTTTGTCCTGCTGCTTGGAGCTGGGAAACAGATTCAGAGTGACTGGGGGTGGTGGAGAAATCGAACCAGGGGAGCTCATCCTAGGGACAGTGAGGTGCCTAGCCCTGGGCCACCCCCCCACCCATAGAGCTGGGGGAGGAGGCAGCTGGTAAGAGGGGACTACCCTGCCCACTGATGACCTACCTTCATTTCTGCTTCAGATCAGGCGAAACCCCGGCCTTAAGAAGTATTTTCGAGAGATCTTAGACGCCTCCCTGGAAAAGCTGGTAACCAGCCTGCAGAGCCAGGAGGCCTGCTCCACAGAACTGAACAGAAGCCATGTGGAGAGACCCTACCAGTTGTCCTTGGGTTTGCCGAACAAGTTTGCTGACAACAATAGCCACAATGTCATCAGCCTCATGGACTTCACTGGGCACTACGGCCGAAGACACAGTTGTGGCCAGTTTTCCTACAGAGAGGCCCAGCAGGTGAGAAGGGACAGCGTGAACCAGTGACAGCAGCCCAGGGCACAAAAAGATCTACTCACAGTACTCCCTCTTCCCCTGCTGAGGGCAGGGCCTCTGGGGTCCAGCTCACATCCTACTTCCTTGCTAAAGCCTCTCAGATAACCCTACACCACAGTGATCTTTTTCTTCTCCAAATCTCTCGCTGACTTGATAATTAGCATCTTCTCTGTTCAGTTCTATTCTCTCATTATATGTGCATTCTCATACTTTCTGATAGCAGTATGGAATGTTGGACTGGCTGCTCTTGCAGCTGGCCCTCTTCTCATTGCATGGCTTCTGCTGCTTGGTGTCCCAGTTCTAGACTGTCATAAAATTTAAATAATAAAGCAAAGGAAGATTGTGTACGAATTAAGGAATGGCTGAGGTAAATGAGAAGGAGCCACAGATTTTTTGGTTCTGGAAATTTCCCAGGAGGCGATAATTCACTGACCTTGTCTCAGTTGATGGATTAAGAACAGCCTCGCTCCTCCCATTACTCTCTCTTCTGATTGGTTTTATGCTTTTCCTAACAGTTTGCTCCCCTTAAGTCTCTGAGAGGTTCTCTTTAGAAAGCAAATTTATCACTGGTTTTTTGAACATCTAAGTTTTCCTGTTTCCTGGTGAAGCTGGATAAACAGCTTTCCACATCCTTTTCAAATTCACTTAGGATCACCTGCATTTAAAGCATTTTGACAGCTCTATGGGCCAGAAGCCGTTGAATGCAGGTGACAGTGAAGGAATGGAATTTTCTGTTTGTTGGTGTTGGACAAACATGATCAGAACTTACGCATCCAAATGGTCCCCTGGGAAGCCAGGCCTTGATCTCTCAATGTCACCATCACTCAAACACTCTCTTCCTCTCGTGGAATTTCCTCTAGAAGCCTTGTGACAAGTGTCTCCAGAATGCTGGTCTTATTTCATGGTCCTGGTACCTTGTCTGCCGAATGCTCTGTTCCACCTTGCCTTGTTTTCCCAGTGGGCACCCCTTGTGACCTTGACCTCTCTTTTCTCAAGCTCCCTGTCTCCTCCAGGAGAAGGGGAATGTTACAGATAATTTGCTCTCTAGGATGGGTTAGATAATGGCTGGTGGAATGATCTGGACTGTGTGTGAAAGACATTTTAGAAACATCTGTCCTGACATCCTCAGTGGCTCTAACTCCATATTTTGGTTTTATTAACCACTCATTCATTTATTCACTCATTCATTCAACCAATGGACATTAAAAGCTCCCCTAGTGTCTAGTTGTGGTGAGGGCCTGTGCAAGGTTCGCCTTGAAAGACTTCATATGTTAGTAGAAAAGACAACATATTCTCTCATGACAAAATTGAACATCAATTAAATGCCAAATTTATGGTTCAGGAAGTCCATGAAGCAATTTGGCTCTGGGAGCCTTCTTGGAGGTGGCATACATTTAGTTTTGACCATTGAGGATGGAAAAGTTACAGGTGGGGCGAAAGGGCCAGGAAAACACATAGGCAGGAAGTATTGTGTGGGCAAAGACCCAGAGGTGGGAGCCAGAATGGTGTTTTGATGGGTTAACAAGAAGTCTGTTATCACAGTGGGGACCTCAAAGAAATGGACTGTGGCTAAACTCTATGTTTTTCTCCCTCTAGAACATCACTAGTCCTGAGATCCAAAGTCCAGATTGAAAACTGTGCCATTCACTCAAACGCTTTGGGCGAATTCCTGAACTAGCCACACAATCGGGAGCTTTAGCCAGAAGACCCTGAAGTTGCTTTGTGCTGTGCAATCAGACGTGACAGAGACACATGTGGAAAACTGCTCTCTTGTGTCCGGGGACCCATGTGGGCTTCTGAGACTGAGAATCGTTCTTCCACAAAGCTGGAGGCAGAGGCTCATTGCGGGAAATAAGCGCTGGACTGGGAGTCAGGAGACCAGGGCTCCATCTGCTGACCTGCCCTAACTGGCCACAGGCCCTCTATGTGTCTCTTCTCTGCTTGGACCTGGGATAATGAGCCGGATCAATGAGTCATCAGAGCAGTTTGGTTCTGTTGTGCTGAGCTCTCTGTAAAGGGAGGTAGTGAGGGCTTTCACTCGCTGACTAAAGACATCCCACTGGGCAGGAGGCAATCTTGGAAGATTTACTGAATGAACAAAGGCATGAATGAAGAGAACGCCTGAGATCAGGCAGTTCTGCCAGGCATTCCTAGGAAGGCTTGATCCTGAACTGGAATTGTGTGCCCTGTGGGTCTATCTGTAAGTTAGGGGGTTATGGAGGAAGTGGGAGAGCTACCTCTATAGGCAGTGATCCAGAGCATTGAACTTGGAGTCTCTGTGTTGTAAGGTCACCCTTAGTGCCAACTTTGGTACCCTTGGGTGAGTGTCCTCAAGAGACTTGAATGTTTTTATATCCCCAATCATATTTATTTTTTATTATTCTGTGTTTTCTTGATCCACAGGGTCTAAAATATACCTACTATCATGTAGAAGCCTTGCTGACATCTTTTCAAATAAATTTTTGTTTAATTTAATCTCATTGGAACATCTACCTGCATTTAAATAGATGGGCGTCTCTCTGTAAGACATAATTTATTCAATTGACCAACAGTGCTCAATGCTCACATGGATTTGTAAATGCCTCTCAGGAAATCTGGAGGTCCCAGATGGGCATGACCTACAAATTGGGGGTCCCTGGTCTCTCAGAATCCTTTCAACCTGTGTCCTATAATCCTGGAACCAGCAAAAGGATATTGGTGCCTTGTACCTCTCTTGTCTTATGGGGATTTGCCAGGAGTCAGTGAGAAAATGGATGTGGAGATTTCTGAAAATTACATAGTGCCATGTGTATGCCTGTTGTCATTATTATAGTGGTAATTTGAGTAAATTTCTGAAAATAAGGGAGGTCTTCAAGCTGGATGGCCATGGCTGTTTGCATGGGTATGCACTGCTCAAGTTGCCACACCCCAGGAAGTGCTATTTACTTCCAAGACAATGTGGATTTGCAGACTTATGACGACAATTTTCCATCTGATGGAAGTAAACTTGTGAAAGGTACTTTGTTTTTGCACAAAGGTGAGATGAGGGCCTGCTTGTCATTCTGCCTCCTACAAGCTGAAGTTTCAACAGATTGGCTCAGAGGGCCAACCTGAAAGCTTGTGTGCCTGATGGGGTGATGAGCAGACATCTCTCTCCTTGGACATTGCCTGGAACACATGGCCAGAGGGGAGAGGGTGTTAAAACCTGGATGGAAAACCAGTTTTGTTATCCTCTGTAGACATTTTTACTGCTCTATTGATTCAGTGGCAAGAGCCTTGGTGTGAGTTTAGAGAGGGGGAGAAGCCCAAGGCAGAGAGAGGTCCTGGGTATTGAGAGAGGACTGACCTCAACTCTGAGGCCAAGTTTTAGGAACTCCAACTAAACATATTCAAAAGCCATTTTGTTTTATTGTAGCTTCTAAGAAGTGGGGGAGAGGTGATTTATTTATAGATTTATTCTAGGCAGTGTTCAGGAACACTGCCCCAAAATGGGAGGGATCAGAATCAGTTTTGAAAAGAGGGTCAGGAAGCTTCTGTACATAGTTTCTTTTTTGCAGTGGCATTCTTTAAGTTATGTGAGGATTTAGTATAAGTTCCCGATGCTGGCATCTGAGTCTTATTTTTGTATTGTGATTTAACAAATAAAGAAGTTGACTTGCACAAAAGTCTCACTTGAATTATTCACAATGGAGGTAAGATGGGGACCCACCTGCCATGCCCCAGGGTAGCCTGGTACCTGCAAGACTTCAGGGTGAGTCTCCTTGTCTCTGTGGGGCAGGGGGGAATCAGAAGCTCTCCATCCTTGGGGCACAAACTTTCTGAGTCAGCAAAAAATGCCCTGGGCTGGGCATTAGGAGACCAGGGTTTAGTCCAGCTACCCCCAGACTAGTGACCTTGGAGATAAGACAATTTTCTTCCAGAGTGGGCACTCTCTAACTCTGACCAGGTTAATTTTATATCTAGGGAAATCTCCTTTTCCCTCTCTCGGATTACTCGTGAGTTCTGTCAGCAGCCTCTTGGGTAAGGGGATCCTTTTGTCTATACAGCTTGCCTTCTTTGTGAACCACATGGCCCGTGCCCCAGCCCTCACCTAAGGCACTGAGCACCTGAGAGGAGGGCAGCAGCCTTGTCCTCACCTCATAGACAGGAAACTTAGACTCAGAGGCAGAGGTGCCTTGTTCAAGGTCACGGGGCTTCTTCCCCACTCCCTCAAGACACACTTAGATTCTTCTAGACAGAACCTCCTAAAGGGGGCTGATGTGGACTTGTGCTCCCTGATGTGGTCCTGCTAAGTGGAGGCTTCTTGCCACAGTCCCACCCTCCAAGGGGCCCCAGTCCAGTTCAGACTCTTCTTCCACCCAGTCTTCTGGGATTTACATCCCAGGATATTAAACAAATGCATCCAAGGCCTGTGGGCAGGCCTGGCTTCCTTCTGAGACCTATCAGGCAGGAGGCCATTTGCTCTCTGGGAAGCAATGGGGCTTCCATGCTTCCCTGCAACTAGAGATGAACCAGGCCAGGACCCAACTCGCAGAACCCCTACTTCAGTGGCCACACTCCCATGACTAATCCACTAGTTCATTTATTCAACCAGTATTTATTTATTTATTTTTAATAATAAATTTTATTTTTATATTCCCCATACAATTGCAGCCCCCCCATTCTGACCCCAATCTCTCCCCTCCCACCCCCACCCCCTTAAAAGTGTCTCTGGTTCGTAGTTTTTTGTTGATTTTGATTTTCACTTTCTTATAGTTATTCGTTTTCCTGGTCCCTTATTTAAGTTTTCTAGATTCCTGCTATGAGTGAGACCATCCGGTATTTTTCTTTTTCTTTTTGGCTTATTTCGCTGAGCATGATCCCTTCCAGTGCCATCCATGTTGCTGCAAATTGCATGTGTTTATCTTTTTTGAATGCTGAGTAATATTCCATGGTGTATATGTACCACATCTTCTTGATCCAGTCATCTATTTTTGGGCATTTGGGTTGTTTCCAAAGCTTAGCTATTGTAAACAGTGCTGCTATAAACATAGGGGTGCAGGTGTTCTTTGGAATTGATGTTTCTGTGTCCTTTGGGTAAATACCTAGGAGTGGAATTGCTGGATCATATGGAAGCTCTATATTTAGTAGGTCCAGAAATCTCCACACAACTCTCCACAGTGGTTGGACCAGTTTGCACTCCCACCAACAGTGCAGAAGAGTTCCTTTTCTCCACACCCTCGCCAACATTTGTTGTTGCTAGTTTTTTTAATATGTGTCATCCTCACTGGTGTAAGATGGTATCTCATGGTAGTTTTGATTTGCATTTCCCTGATGACAAGTGATGCTGAACATTTTTTTCATATGCCTGTTGGCCATTTGCATTTCCTCTTCAGAGAAGTTTCTTTTTAGCTCTTCTGCCCATTTTTTGACTGGATTATTTTCTTGTTGTTGTTGAGTCTCGTCAGCTCTTTGCAGATTTTGTGATCAGTCCTTTATCATTAGTGTTGGGTGCAAAAATGTTCTCCCAGTTGGTGGGGTTTCTCTTTGTTTTTGTTATTGTCTCTTTTGCTGTGCAGAAGCTCTTTAATTTGATGTAGTCCCAGCTGTTTATCTTTGCCTTCACTATCACTGCTTTGGGTGATGTGTCTGTAAAGATGTCTTTGATGTGCAAATCACGTAGTGTTTCGCCTATATTTCCTTCTATATATTTTATGGCTTCAGGTCTTATGTCTAGTTCTTTAATCCATTTTGAGTTGATTTTTGTGTATGGTGTGAGGTAGTGGTCAAGCTTCATTCTTTTGCATGTAGCGACCCAGTTTTCCCAGCACCATTTATTGAACAAACTTTCTTTGCTCCAATGCATAGTCTTTGCTCCTTTGTCAAAGATTAGTTGACCATAAATCTGTGGGTTTATTTCTGGATTTTCTATTCGATTCCATTGGTCTGTATGTCTGTTCTTGTTCCAATACCATGCAGTTTTGATGATTATGGCTTTGTAGTAGATTTTGAAGTCTGGGAGTGTGATGCCTCCATTCCCTTCTTTTTTTTTCAGGAGAGCTTTGGCTGTTCGGGGTTTTTTGTGATTCCATATGAATTTCATCAATAATTGTTCTATTACTTTGAAGAATGACATTGAAATTTTGATTGGAATAGCATTGAATCTGTATATTGCTTTTGGGAGGATGGCCATTTTAATAATGTTTATTCTTCCAATCCATGAGCAGGGGATGTCTTTCCATTTCTTTGTGTCTTCTTCTATTTCTTTTAACAGTGTTTTATAGTTTTCTTTGTATAGGTCCTTTACCTCTTTTGTTAGATTTATTCCCAAATATTTGATTTTTTTTTGTTTCAATAAAAAAAGGGATGGTTTTTTTGATTTCTTCTTCTTCAGATTTATTGTTTGTGTATAGGAAGGCTACTGACTTTTGCGTGTTGATTTTGTATCCTGCCACTTTACTGAACTGATTGATGAGTTGAATTAGTTTTTCTGTGGACTTTTTGGGGTTCTCTATGTATATTATCATATCATCTGCAAATAGTGATAGTTTGACTTCTTCTTTTCCTATTTGGATTCCTTGGATGTCTTTCTCTTGTCTTATTGCTCTGGCTAGGACTTCCAGTATTATATTGAAAAGCAGTGGTGAGAGTGGACATCCTTGTCTTGTTCCAGATCTTAATGGAATTGCTTTCAGCTTTTCACCATTGAGAATGATACTGGCTGTTGGCTTGTCATAGATGGCCTTTATGATGTTGAGGTATGTTCCTTGTATCCCAAGAATTTCAAGGGCTTTTATCATGAATGGGTGTTGCACTTTGTCGAAAGCTTTCTCAGCATCTATTGGTATTATCATATGGTTTTTATATATCTTTTTGTTGATGTGTTGGATAACGTTGATTGATTTTCGGATGTTAAACCATCCTTGTGTCCCTGGAATGAATCCTACTTGGTCGTGGTGAATTATCTTATGGATACATTGTTGGATTCTGATAGCTAAAATTTTATTGAGGATTTTTGCATCAGTGTTCATTAGGGAGATTGGCCTGTAGTTTTCCTTTTTTGTGTTGTCCTTGTTCGGTTTTGGTATTAGTGTAATGTTGGCTTCATAGAACGTGTTTGGTATTGTCCCTTCCTTCTCAATTTTTGGAAGAGTTTGTGAAGCATAGGCACTAATTCGTCTCTGAATCTTTGGTAGAATTCATTTGTAAATCCATCAGGTCCTGGGCTTTTGTTTTTGGGGAGGTTTTTGATTACCATTTCAATTTCGCTGCTTGTAATTGGTCTGTTTAGGTGTTCTATTTCTTCTTTATCTAGCTTTGGGTGATTGTAGAGTTGTAGGAATTTGTCCATCTCCTCTAGATTGTTAAACTTCAACCAGTATTTATTTACTGAGCACTTACTATGTGCCAGGTCTGGTGCTAGCTCTGGGGAATACACAGAAACAAAAGTCACAATCCCTGCTCTCCAGATGTTCACAGGCCTGACTAGTTAGGAGAATTTTGTGCCAAGAGGAATACAGAGTGGGCACCGTGTGAGGGTGCGCCTACCGCAACTCAGTGCGGGAGGAGCTTTCAAGACCTTTGCAAAAAATACCAGATGGTCTCACTCATAGCAGGAATCTAGAACACTTAAATAAGGGACCAGGAAAAAAGAATAACTTTAAGAAAGAGAATATCAAAATCAACAAACAACTATGAACCAGAGACACTCAGTGGGGGGTGGGGAGTGGGGAAAGGAGGGATTGGGGTCAAAATAAGGGGGTTGTAATTGTATGGGGAATATAAAAATAAAATATAAATAAAAATTTTTTTTAAAAAGAATAAAAAAAAAAAAGACCTTTGCAGTGTATGTGAGACCCTGATGCTTTGAAGGGTATTTAAAAGGTGGCAAATGCCCTCAGGACATTATGAGCCTCATTTCCCACTGTGAGAAGTTAGGAGGCTAAGTGGTTGAGTCGGCTGAGAACTGCTTGTGCTTTGGGGTGGTAGAGGGTCACGGGGTTGTAGGTGTCAAATGTGCACATTTACAAGGCCAGACAGTGTTCTGGCCTTGACTGTGCCACTACTGAGATCCCCAATTTCAAAGCATATGGCTAGCATGTAAAATCAATAATCCGTTAGTGTTGGTTTTTTAAAAAGGGCATATGAAGAGTTTGTTAAATTTAGCAAATGAAAATTTGGGCAGCCCAGTTGAATTTGAATTTCAGATACAACTAATAATTGCAATGTTAGAGACATATTTATTCTAAATAATTCTTGGCCGTTTATCTGAAATGCAAACTGAACAAGGTGTCCTGTACTTTATCTGGCAACGCCGGAACGAATGCAAGAACAATTCTCTTCATTACCTCAAAATGGGAAAGAGGGCAATTAAGTGAAATAAAGGAAACTATTACAAGGCGATTTAATAACATAACTGTGACACATGAGCATCTGGGCTCTAAATACAGACTTTGAATGAAAACAACAGTTATCACTTTCACTTCGCGTTTGCACACTGGGGGGCAAGCGTCCCAGTTGCACAAAATTGAAACCCTCTCTCCCCTGGTTCTCAGGGGCGCTGAGCACAGAGTCACATGTGAACAGCAGGACCATCCTGAAGGGAAGCCCGAGGCAGACCTCAGTCAGGGCGGATGGGCACCCCAGGGATCTCCCCATTACGTAACCCCTACGGCACCTCCTGTGACTGGTCTGGACCACAGAATCGGAGTCAGCAGAGAGTGCAAGGACACCCGAGATTCTGGTTCTTCCCCGCCCCCTCAAGACACACTTAGGTTTTTCTAGACAGAACCTCCTAAAGGGGACTGATGTGGACTTGTGCTCCCTGATGTGGTCCTGCTAAGTGGCGGTTTCTTGCCACAGCCCCACCCTCCAAGGGGCCCCAGTCCTGTTCAGACTCTTCTTCCACCCAGTCTTCTGGGATTTGCATCCCAGGATATTAAACAAATGCATCCAAGGCCTGTGGGCAGGCCTGGCTTCCTTCTGAGACCTAACAGGCAGGAGGCCATTTGCTCACTGAGAAGCAATGGGGCTAAAGATTATTAGTTTTTTTCTGGACAGGTTGGAATAATTAAAGCTGAAGTTCCCTGAAGGAGGAACATTTTCACTGAAATGTGAATAACAGTCTGCCCTCACTCGGGGTGGGAGAGAGATGGGTAGGGACATTGGGCCTCCCATTTCCTCCACAACCATCCTAGGCCTGGGGAGGCCCAGGGAGGACCACTCAACATAGCCACACCAGGTTATCACATCTTCCCTGCTTGCTTTAAAGGCTCTGCTGCAGGCCTTTTGCCAGACCAGCTCCGTCAGAGACCCCATCGAGTGGTTGGAGCAGAGGCCAGGGGCTCCAGGTCAAACCCTGAGTCCACTGTGAGAATTAAAATCAAAACAGATGGAGAATTTGGTATTTTGACACCTCAGGTAACAGGAAAGTGTGTCCGTGGCTCAGTCCTGCCTGACCCCCAAGAATTTTGGCCTGTGAACTAGGCTCAGGAGAACCAGGGTTGATCTGGTTCATCTCAAAGAAGCAAACTCAGGCCCAGGCAGGAGGAAAGCAGCCAGAAAGAGGCTGTGCCAGTGCTCTTCAGTGTGGTGGTGTCTGTCCGTCCATCTGTCCAGAGCAGGGTAGCAGAAAGGCTGGAAGGACCACAGGGAAGCTGAGAGGATATTTAGACAGGGAGGTGCTCGCCTGGGAAAGTAGGACCTTCTACACCAACAGGCTTGGTGTCTGTGATTGTCACGCCTGCTCCCTGAAAGCCTAACGTGAGGGGAAGGCATTGGAGATGTGGGACAAGTCTCAGCCCTCGGGTCTTCAGGTTCTTTCTCGCTCCAGCTCGGGTTTTCTTTCTGGGCTCACAGCTTCCTACAAAAAAGGACACAGATTTATCATTTTTAAGTCCCATCTAGGACGTTAGTCCCTGTATTTCCACAGAAAACATCCTTCGCAGCTTCACATGCCTTGGGAAGCCCTGAGCAAGTAGCCAGGTATCACTGCATGAAAATTAGAAATCTCAGTGTATACCAAAAGCCGGTTGGAGATTTGTTTTATTTTACAAGGATCTTTTGCTGCTCTGCAAATGGAATTCTCAGTTTTGCAAAGCAGGAGTTGAGAAAAGAATGTTTGAAACACTACTCAGTTTACAAAAAGTACAGTGTGGCTTTCCAGAAAAGGGTAGGGGTGGGGTGGCTGCCTGAGTGCCAAGTACAGCTGTGCAGGCTGCACACTGTGCAAGACCACACTCCAGCACAAAGCTGTATGTTCTTCACAGAGTGACACAGATACATGTCATATGTTATTTGTAGTTTTCTTTGTGTTATTCATGACACTTTGTAGCTTTGTGTATTTCTCATACAGTTTTCTAGCTATTAGAAGTCAATTGTGATAGCACAATCAGTATTTTATAACAATTTTGCAGCAACTCATGGTCAAACTCTCCAGGAAGGGGCTCAGTGCATAAGAGGCTATATTTTTTGCTTTTATATAGTGTTTGCCTTGACAGGAAGAGGGGCAGAAAGCTGGGGCTTGGGGATCACGGGACTGGACAGGTAATGTCCATCCTCCAAGGACTTCTGGGGGACTTTCACACCTCAGGGCAGCTGTATTCCTGGATCCGGCTGGGATGAGGCCTGTAGGTCACCCAAACTCTCTCAGAATCGGAGAGCAGAGAGAAATCCAGTGAGCAGGGAACAGACCTGGGGGCGAGAAATCAAGGAAGCTCATGTAAGGAAAATGAGGCAAAAAGAGGGTGACAGACCTGAGTCCCAAACCCTCTTCCACCTGCTGTGTGACCCTGGCAAGTCACTTGTCCTTTCTGGGAAACAAGAGGGAGACACCTCAAAGCCCAGGTTGGAGAAAGGCTGGAATGTGGACTTGCACATTCTTGGATTACCATCAGATTTGACTGTGTCATTCTGTTGTTTAAACCCGGTGATGTAGTTACTCTGAGACCGTGATAAAAACGCGACAAAACAAGTCCACTTCTTAATTTCCCTAATCACAGACAAAAACAAGGTCACTGTACTACTCCCCAAATACTCAATCACAGAACTTCCCTGCAACTTTCTAGCAGCTTCCAATCTACAGTGGGCGGCTCCTTCCTGGGGACCCTCCCCCAAATCAGAATGCAAATCCCCTGATAGGTTCTTTCCAACTCTTTTTTCCTGTAACACTCCCTGTTTCCCTGTGTGTTCTTCTGGCTGTGACAACCAATAAACCCAGCTTCCTACTAAATGAATCAATGAGTCAATCAACCAACCAACCTATCCTGTGAAGACATCTCAGCACTGAAGAAACCCAAGCTCATTGCCATGGCAACCAAACCAGTCTGCCTTACCCCTGTCATGTCTCCAGTGCACCCCAGCCCACTCCTTGACCTGAGGGAGAAATCAGGAGACTTGACCTTGTGACCTCTGACTCTTTCATCAATGCCCCTTTTACCCCAGGAGACTGTATCACCCAGTGGTCAACAGCAAGACAGTCATGACAGAACCTGGATTCAGATCCTGGTTTTGCCAGCTACCAACTGAGTGACTTTGTTTTCCTTTCTTTCCTTTCTTTTTTTTTTTTAAATTGCGGTAATATTGATTTACATCATTGTTTGTAGTTTGGGAAGTTTAGGGTGCTCCCCTGTCAAGTGATGTTACCACAGTGCACACCCCACCCAGGCACCCAGAGTCCACCACCGCAGCCCATTGTGCTCCCGCCCACTTTGCTTTCACCCTTCTTGTTCCCCTCCCCCTCTGGGTGCCTAGGTTCTATAGTCAGCTTCCAAGGGTTAGTTTTTAAGTTTGACTTTATCTTTCATACATATGAATGAAATATGGACTTTAGATAATAATAATCTATTGTCACAGGTTCATTACTTGTAACCAATGACCCATAGTGGTGTAATATGTTAATTATAGGGGAAACTGGGTATGGAGTATATGGGAACTCTCTGTACAGTCATTGCAATTTTTCTTTAACTGTAAATCTACTAAATATCAAACTACTAAAATATTGCAAGATAGTAGGTAACATTTATTTTCTTCTTTTAAATTTATTGCTCAGTTTTTCAAAGTTAACCAAAATAAACATAATTTTTTTTTGGCAAAAAAAAAAGTTTGACTTTATCTGGCCCTTTGTTTGTTTTCTCTATATCCCACCTACAAGGGATACCATATAGTATTTATCTTTATCCTTCTGACTTATTTCGCTTACACAATCCCTTCTAGCTGGTAGGACTTGGTGTTTTTTGATTGCTGAATGGTAGTCCATTGTGTATCTATACCACATCTTCTTTTTTGAAAAAATATTTTATTTTATATAATTCTTACATCATTTTTCATTTTTGCACAATATATGCATTTTCATTTTGGTTATATTCCCCATGCAATTGCACCCCCGCTTATTTTGACCTAATCCTTCCTCTCCCCTCTGCAGGGTGTCTCTGGTCCATAGTTGCTTGTTGATTTTGATTTTTACTTTGTATTAATTTGTCTTTTTCCTGGTCCCTTATTTAGGTTTTCTAAATTCCTGCTATGAGTGAGACCATCTGTATACCACATCTTCTTGATCGGTCATCTGCTTGGGGCACATAAGTTGTTTGCTTATCTTGGTTATTGTAAATAGTGCTGTTATGAACATGAGAGTGCGGGTTTCAACTGAGTGACTTTGGACAAGTAACTCAACCTCTCTGCTCCATAGTGTCTGGAACATAAATGCTGTGAACATATTCGCTCTTACTACACTCATGTTTGAACAAGGGAAGATTCCATAATAACCCAAAGGCAAGGGAGACCAAGAGTTTATGCAGGGCTAGTTCATGGATGTGACAGTGTCTCTCTTGATTGCAGTATGAGAGGAAATGAAAGCTGTCTTATCTTCCTGGATTGTTCCTTCTTCTCAATCTAAAATTTTTGAGTTTGTCTTTTCCATCCCTGCCATGGTTTTTGAAGTTCAAAGCAGTGAATTCGCATGGAATTGCTTAAGGTTATTAATTGGTAAATTGCCTCCAAGTAGTTTCCTAATCTGTTCTATAAAGACACAGACAAGGTGTGTGACCATGGACAAGTTTCCTGCAATTTATGAAAGTTGTTTTTTGTTTTTATCACAGCTACTTCTTTATAAAACATCTTAACTCCTAGCAATTTTTCAACCAAGGTAACTCTGGCCGGACTTCATCTTTCCCACTGCTCTGATGCATGGGGAGAGGCCTGGCCCTGGATTCAAGGAATCCTAATTAGGGCCTGGCTTCCAGGTAGCATTCCCAGAACCAGAAAGCTCCTAACACTCACTTCTCCTGACCCCCCTCTACTCTTGATATCTCCTGTAGACTATTCTCCAAACTGCTTTGCCTTTGGAAGTTGAGAAATATTAGTCATGCTCACTGTGCTTTGCAGCTTTGTTTTTTGGATGGTGGATGTCTCAGGAAACCTTTTCGGGTACCACTTGTCTTTTGTTTGTTCTTCTTGAATATTCTTTTCATCCAGTTGGAGTCTTCAGAAGGGCTTTCCCTGGAGAAAGGTGGAATAAGTAGTTTGTTAGTGCCCTGTGTGTTCCCTGCTCCAGCTTGGAAGGTAGATAACGCCAATGCCCAATCCTCAACCCTAGTGGAGCAACAGAATTCCCCAGCAATGTATATTTATTTAAGTAAAATCAAGCAACTAGTCAACTGAAACTCAAACCTTTATACAGCTATATGCCAATGCAATAAAGTGTAAATCACTTGACCAAGCATATCATTTTTGTGCAAGCACAAAATTATTAAATTTGTGCAAAGTCTTTTAAAAATGTCTTATAACTATAGCTAAAATTATACTTAATGTGAGAAGCAGGCATATTTTAGTATTTTTGATATTATGTGGACTGCGACACCAAAAGTAAGAGTGGCCCAGACCATGCTCTCTGACACCTGCAGTTGTGACCATAAAGAAGCCTGGTCCCTATGGGTGCCTTCTACTGGCTAACCCAGCCAGCAAGGTGGTCTGAGCAATATGGTGCCCAGGAGACTTAAAAATAAAGGCCCTTTCATAATTACTTCAAAGATAATAATGGATATATGTTACACAAACCAGATAGTTGGTGTATATTATAATAAAAATGTTTAGGGGGGATATTCTATAACATAAGAATATTAGCCCTTTTATCATGGTGACAGAAAATAATTTGGAGTAAGGGAGGTCTTTGATAGTCCCTCAATTCATACCATGCAGGAGTTACCAAAGGCTAGCCCTCCTGCACTGAGACACCACCAGAGAGTAAGAGACAGGAGGGGGTGCATGTGCTCTGTTGCACCCCGAGGAGCACAGCCCCATGTGCACAGCAGTGAGCCTAAGGGAATGACATTGGCAGCACGAATAGGTTCATTTCCCACACATTGCTCCCCATGAGAGAGAAGGGACTGGATTGTGAAGTGAAAAGGGGTGGACTATAATCATGCAAACTAAAAAGTATCTCAATGCTTTTAGGGCAGCTAACGAGATGGAAACTATCACTTAGCTGACCCCACCAGAAGAAAGAACAAGTTATCAGTTAAGTAGAAACTTACATTGCATAAGACTTGCTGGTGGTTTCCTTCGCACTAACCAGAGGCACAGCGCATTCTGGGTTTGAGGAGTCTAGGGGAGCTATAGGGCAAAGTAAAAATATAGCAACGTGAGTGATAAAGGTGGAGGAGAACTTAGTCATTTTTGAAATATCCATAGGAAATAAATGAAAAGGTTTAGAAACAGCAAAGAATTCTCTTAGATTCAAATTCTCATATTTAGGTCAAGACTCATATAGTTGGATTTGATCGAGATCCAGGGCATCCTTGGAAGGAGGTCTGCTGACCTTGGATGTGATATCAATATTATCAACCAAAAGCAGTGTGTTAGGGAAAATTTCCAAGAAATCCCCCACAGAGGCTGTCACCTGCTTTATGTAATGCTATTTTCTTATTTATTGGCATAGAAAATATTAATAGTTTCATGCCCACTGATCTTAAATCAGCTCTTTTCATGTTTTGGTAAGTATGGGGATATACATGAAAATTAACACATAATACTGTAATACATGCAAATAAAAGTAATATAGAATACATTGAGATTCCTCTGTCTGTCGGCTATGCTTGACTTTCCCAACTTTTTGGCTTTTCCTAGGACTTTTGCAACAACTCTCATCCTGATGACAATATGGCCACGATGAAATGATTAATAACAGTAACCCCTGGGGAGGTTCCACACTCAAGCTCCCACAGACAGCCAAGGATGTCACTGCTGAGGCAGCCTCAGCACTACTTACTTTAAGGACAGAAAACACTTTGCTGTGTGGGTCATGCATTGTAGGACGTTAGCATCCCCCGTCCCCTGCCCACTTAGTATTACCCACCAGGCGACAACTGAAAATGTCTCTGGAATTGCCAAATGTCTTCAGGGGTAAAACTGGCCTCGTGTGAGAACCATGGGACCATCTGTACTCTCTGTACCCTCTAGCCACCCCCAAGGTGAGTGAGGAATACCAGCTCGGGGCCAGGATTACTCAGGCCCCTGACAATGGATGCCCTTGGGCACAGATGTGAGTTACATAAAACATGCGCTTTTCATTTAACAGAAAATAAGAGAGAATGTGAATCACTTTGACCGATTCTCTGACTTTAAATATCCCGATATTTTGTCTCACTGTGATGAAAAGAATCAAGCCTATAACAGAGAAAGGGCTACCCCCAACGCAGGGCAGATCTGCTCCTCTGTGCTACTGCTTATCACAGTAACTGTGGGAGTGTGACTGATGGACTCATCTGTCCAAAATGCCTTCTTTACTCCCCCCAAGAGAAGCGATCGCGTTCTCTATGAATACCCTCAACTCTCTGTTTATGTGATTTATATCTACTTAAAGATTCTCTTTGTATTTTTGAGGTTGGTATTCATGCCATCCCTTCATTTCCTGAGAGTAAGGAATTGAGAATTGTTCATCTTGGCAGCCCCTAGAGAAGTGCTTCTCGAACTGTCTGTAGCAAGGAATCAGTTCTTAAAAATCTTATTTATAATAAGGACTAGTTACATAAAGAAGTAGCACTTTTGTGAAATACAATATAAATGAATTAGGAGGAATTTGACCAAGCTCTTGGATGACAGAATAATCTCTTCTTGCTATAGAATTCTAAATGCATACTCTGGGTCTCTGAGCTGTTTCATCATGAACTGGTACCTAACATTCCAGGATTGTCATTCGGACCACAGGCCAGTCTTTGAGAGACACTGTCCTGTCTCGGAGCCTTTCACAATAAAAATTTACTACAATAGCAGTTCTTAAGTGTTAGCGGGTTAAAGAATCACCTAGTGGGCTAGTAAAAAAGACAGACACTGGGTCCCACCCCCAGAGTTTGTGATTTAGTCGATCTGAGGTAGGGTCTGAAAATTTTCATTTCTAACAAGTTCTGAGGAGATGCTGCTGTTTCCAGGCAGGGACCAAATTTTGAGAATCACTGACCTGAAGACCTGAACAGATGTTGAGCACACTGCCCCCGTGTGGTGACCTGTCTTCATAACAGGCAGAGCCTCGTCACTTAGAAACTCACTACCACGTTCACTTCACAACCTTCATCTCTAAAGAAACGGTCATCTGCCACGGTGCTAATGTGCACTTGCTGAGAAGCTCCAAACATGAGGAGACCATGAGAAGCCAGAGGGTTCATACCTTGGGGTTGTTCTGGGCCCAGTTCCTCCACAGGCGGTGTTGCAGGTGATGCTGCAGAACATCGGGGTGATATCTGAGGGTCCCCCACAAGTGAAGACCCCATGGATGGCCTGGATGACATAGATGACTTCAAGGGTGGGGATCTGGGTGATGAGCCAGGTGGTTGTACCTGATGCTTTGGTGACGCAGGGGATAGCCCAGGGGGTGAGCTGGGTAGTATGGGCACAGCTGGCAGTGATACAGGTGGCAAGTCAGATGGTGAATGTGCTGGAGATGAGGCCAGTGGCAAGGCAGCGGAGAGTGAGGAGACAGGTGGTGAAACTGGTGGCTCCACAGGCCACTCACATGTGGACTCAGCTGTCTGCACAGGTGGGGACACAGAGGGACCATGGCCACCACTTCCTTCCCTTTTGGGAGTGCACTGTGTATGAAGTTGTGTGGATTCTTCCATATCATCCTGCTCTGCTTGGAGCCTGGACTGACTGTTTTCTGGGCATTCACTACCAAGGGCAAGTTCTATCTGGCAGTACACTTCTACCCGGGGGAAAATCACTCTCTTGGAGGGAGAGTTAAGGTAAGCAGCATCTAGGGAAAATAACAGCATGGGGTCAATAGGTGGCATTATTAATCCTTGGCATCTGCAAGAAATTTGCAAAAAATGATTTCCCAAATTATTTTCATAAACAAGATTTGTACTTTTCAATGCCTTTTCTGTACTTAGGTGTGTCTCTATTGAGTATTTGATTGCATGTTGCTTCACTTTTCAATGGATATTCACTGAGCAACTCTATGTGCCAGGCTCTATGCCAGGAGGACAAAAGCAAGTGTGAATACTCCTGGTCTCTTGAGTTTATGGTCTAGTGTGGGGCAGCACTGACCACCCAAATCTCAAGTTTTAACCAAGACAAGCACAAGGCAAGACAGGAATGTAGTATTAAGACAGAGATAAGGGCCTCCCCTGGTGGCGCAGGCGGTTGAACACTGCACTGTGAAGCTGTCCGAAGCCTCTGCAGCGCCAGTTTGATCTGGCCGGCCAGTTGGTGAGAATCCCACATGCTGAAGCAGACCTCTCCTGTTGCGCCCGCTGCTCCCCTCAGCAGTGTATTTCGTCAGTCTGCCTGTTCTGCTCCCCACTCTGTCTCTGGTGAATCCTCTCACCCTCCCACACACCTGGCCTGTACCCCAGTTCTTGTATGTATAAATAAATAAATAAACAAACAAACAAACAAATAAATAAATAAATCTTAAAAAAAAAAAAAGACAAAGAGAAGCAGGGAGGGTTTAGTTGGGAGAGCGTCCCTGAGGGAGTGACATGTGAGCTGAGATCTGAAGACAGTTCTCCAGGGAGGTCAGGGTGCCGTGGGGAAAAGCATTTTAGGCAGTGGGAACAGCATGCAAAGTTCAAGGGAGCTTGAGGAAGCTCAGGACCTGAAAGGTCAGTGCGACTGGAGAAGGGGTGGGGGCACAGGTGGGAGAAGGGCTGAGGAGGCCTAAGGGCCAGATTGCACAAGGGGTGGTAGTAGGCAGCCTCGAGGGTTCTTAATTTCCATGGAGACCATGAAGCCTTATAGGCAGGGAGATGCTAGCCTGGCTCCGACTCTGACTTTGACAAGACCGCTGAGGCTGCTGTTTGGGGACTCAGTGAGAACGGCATAGGGGACAGAGGGAGCTGCAAGAAGTGTTTGCCGCTGGCACTGGAAGGAGAAAGAAGATTCTGTTTAGGAGACAAAATAATTTAGAATTATGATGGATTAAGAAGGGGAAGAAAGGGTTGGAGCTTATACAATCGGATAAAGATTGGTACTGTTTGCAGAGACTATAACCATGGAAGAGAGCACAGGTTATGAGTTTGTTTGGGGACTTGTTGTGAAGACCCAGGAGAGATGACAGGGGCAAGTGAATACATGACTTTGGATCTCAGCGAAGAGATGAGGGTTGGAGATGCATCTTTGGGAGACCCACCTAGGGGTGGAAGCTGAAGCTGGGGTGGCCATGGAGGAGACCGCCTAGGGAAGAGACGCAGAGTGTGAAGAGGAAGGAGCCAGGATTGAGTGAGGAGAGAGCACCCAGCAGTAGACTGAGAAGTGTCTTGTAAGGATCCAGTTGAGAGGTGGAAGTTGGTTATAAGAGAGAGGGGGAATAATGGATATTTGAAAAGCCCTAAAATGGGATGGGCCCTCCACAGAGGTGAGGGGTAAGCTTTATGCAGGAAGATGAATGCTTCCTTTACTCTGATAAGAAGGAAGAGGTCAGGGAAAGGTAAGTCTGTATATTCAGTTCCAAGAACTTCCCTTTGGTGCTTTTGTCCATACTATTTTCACTTTTTTTTTTTTTCGGTAAATCTAGAACTATTCTAAAGAATAAAGCTTATTGAAGGTTGCAGGTGGTGGTGGTGGGGCATGAAATATTCAAAAGAATCCAACAGACACTTTACCAAAGAAGATATATGGATGGCAAATAAGCAAATGAAAAGATGCTTAGCACCACTAGTCACTAAGGAAATGCAAATTAAAACCACAATAGATACCACACACTGATCAGAAAAGCTGAAATTAGAAAGATTGATTATACCAATTGTTGGTGACAACCTGGAGAAACTGGAATTCCCACACACTGCTGCAGAGAATGTAAAATGGTGCATCCACTTTGGAAAACAACCCAGCAGTTTCTTAAAAAGTGAAACATAAATGCTGGGCATATCTTAGTCTGCATGTATCCAGAATTGATAATAGGATCTTGAAGAGATACTTGCACACACATTCACTGCAGCATCAGTCACAATAGCCAAGAGGTAGGAGCAGCCCAAATGTACATTGGTGAATGAATGGATAAAGAAAATGTGGTTAAGACACACGATGGAATATTATTCAGCCTTAGAAAGGACATGCTTTCTAAGCATGTAGCATGCTGTCCATGCCACAACATGAATGTGCTGTGAGGATATTATGCAAAGTGAAATAAACCAGTCCAAAATTGCTGTGATTCACTTATGTGGGGTATCTAAAATGGTTAACCTCATAGAAATAGAAGGCAGAATGGTAGTTACCGGGGAGGGGGGTGGGGTGGGAGTGGGAGAAATAGGGGTTATTGATCAATAGGTACAGAGTTTCAGTTTTTTGAGATGAAGTAGTTCTGGAGATTGGTCACAGAAATATATGTGAATATATGTAACATGACTGAACTGCACACTTAAGATGGTTAAGATGGTACATTTTATGCTGTATGTTCTTACCACAATTTCCTATATACCATATAAATTATATATATTTATATAATTTATGTATAATAAATTTTGTATCTATCTATATATAATCATATGTAATTATACATAATTTAAATTATATATGTGGCTATAGGTTAATATTTACATATCTACAAAACAGGCTTCTAGCATATGATCTGGTCCTTCTACTCCCAGGTATTTGCCAAAAGAATGAGCACAGGGCCTCCCTGGTGGCTTAGGGGTTAAGTCTCAGTGCTATCACTATTATGACCTGAGTTCCATCCCAGACAGGGAGCTGACCCACATGGCGCAGCAGAACTCACCTGTCTCTCCCGCTGCTCCCCTCAGCAGTGTATTTCAGTAGACCCTCTTGCTCTGCTTCCCACACTGTGTTCCCACTCTGACCTATACCCCAGTTCTTCTATGCAAAAAAGGAAAGAATGAACACATCTGTCCATATATAGACCCATGAGGAAGTGTACACAGCAGCTTTATTTATACTAGCCCCAAACTGGATACCCCCTAATGTCTATTGACAGGTGGATGGATAAATGAACTGTGGTATATTCACACAATGGGATGGGCTGTACACAGGAATGAACGATTTATACCATGCAAACCATGGGTGAATCTCAGAACAATCATCCCGCCCTCCCCTGCTGTATGCCTCAGATCTATGGTTAGCTTACAAGTTTTGTTTGTTCCCTGACCCTTTGTTCGGTTTCTCTATTTTCCACCTGTAAGTGAAACCATTGATATTTCTTTTTCCTTCTGACTTATTTCCCTTAGCATAATCCCTTCCAGCTCCCAGATGAACGTTGTGCATGTGGCATCCTCTGAGTTGCAGCCTCACGCAACACCCACGTGCACAGCCTGTGTGGGAAATGCGGATTTTCAAGCACACCCGCACGCAGTGCCCTTCCCTTTGGTAGGAGGCTGCTGCTGGGAGGCCAGGGGTGGAGAGGTTGGCTCGCCTGGCAGCAGGAATAACTAGGTGGATGAGAGCTCTTCAGAGGGAGGTGAGAGGATGCCAGGATATGAGTTGAGGAACTGAGGGTGACACCCTGTGCGTGCGACTTCCTGCTGGGCCTGATCCCAGCCAGAAAGCAAGCTGGAGCTGACTCCTGTTTTCTGTTCCCAAATGACAGGTGGGCATTGAGTGTGATTCTGGGCACCAAGCACGATTTCTCAGGATGTGTCATAACCTCCTGCTTGCAACTCATTCCAGGAGAAAACTCCAGCCCTGCCAAACCCAAGAGGACTTAGGTGGGGCAGCGGAAACCTGCACTGAGAAGGCCTTGCATCCTGGCCAGGTGGAAGAGAAAGCAAAAGCAGCTGGTAGCCAGCACCAGGCATTTCCTTGCTTATGAGCTGTTTGTTCCTACCTGGAGTGACTCCAGGCCCATTGAGAAACCTTGCCATTCTCTAGACACAGCCCCAGTTCTTGAGTGGATACCTGTCATGTTGCTGCTAGGGTGACCCTTTGGTTTAAGACTGCCATTCATACCTGCCGTTCATACCTGCCGTTCATGCCTGTGAAAATATTCACACCAACTTGGGGAGAGGGGCAGGGGTGAGTGGGAGGGAGAAGGCTCTGGGTTCCTCCCAGTGTGTGGAAGAGGGGCTACTAAGAAATGGGAAAGACGAGAGAGACTTAACAACCCACTTTGCAACTCTCCCAGAGTGTGCCCCCAGGAGGAGAAAAGTTCTAGGGAAGAAACAGGTTTGGAGGGAGCCAGGTAGCTGGACTGTAACCATGTGTGGTAGATCCTCCTAGGGTAGCCAGTTGGTGTCTGTGCCAAGATCTGAGATGAAAACCAGGGAATCCTCCAAGCCCTAAGTCCCCAGCCTACACCATCACTTGGGAAAGGGTGCAGGGGCCCCCCGACTGATGTTGGAAAGAACCCCAGGTCCCAGCCAGCGACCGCTATTCACAGGGCTTTGTAGGTGAGGCCTGATCATGCCCCACTGACACCCCTATGCAGTCAGCCTTTGGGGCAGCTGGACTCAGTTTTCACAGCTGAGTAAATGTGGAGGATGGGGGAGCAGTCCGAGGAGAGTTAGGGGAGCAGGAGTCTGTGCTGCAGTGGCCAGGTGAGAGGAGGCAGTGGGATGGGTTGATCACTGCCAGGACACAGCACTCGGCCTCCCTGGAACAGCTGCTAGTGGGCTGAGCACTGGGCTAGGATTCTATGCGGCCGTGCTCCTTTAGTCCTCACAAGCAAACACTGAGGTCGCTTCTATGACCAGCCCCCTTTTACAGATGAGAAAACTGAGGCCCTGGAGGTTACCGTCTGAGATCACATGGTTATAGTGGTCAGGAATCAGCATTTAAATCCTCTTTGCAGATCAGGAAACCAAGATTCAGAGAAGGGAAGTATTTTCCCACTGTACACAGCCTGGGCGTGGGGAGGCGGCAGGAGGGGGATCTTGACCTGGGATTATTGCCTCTGGAGCCCAAGTTCTCTCTCTCTGGTGCTCCGGCTCTGCACCCCTCTTACTGGGAAAGAGGACCCGGGAGAAAGTAAGAATCAGGACAGGGGAAGCTTGAGAAAGCAGGAAGCAATTTTGGAGGAAAAAAAAAGTGAACATATCCTAGGAAAAACCTCTTCAACCCCCTAGTCTCACTCCTGAATTATTTTTTGAACTGCATACACAAAACATCCACTCAGAAGGCTTAGAATAGTGAACATGTGGAAACTCAAAGAGGGACCAGAGCTTTCTATACGACTCTGATGGAATATTTCACAACTGCCCCAGAGGACAGGTACAAAGACCATATGGCGGCAAGGAAATAAACACAGGAGATGCATTTACGCAAGTGCCCTTTGATCCAGGACTTCCTTTTTGTGGAAATAAATTCTAAGGAGTTACTTCCCCAGGTGGAAGATTGTTTTTCTTCTCTTTTAATGAAGATGTTGGCCTTGACCTTCACGGAGTTAGGTGACTCCGTGTGTGGGATACATGTCCTTGGCCTCTGCCTTTCCATCCCGGCCTGGAGACGCACAGAGTCTGCGCAGTGTGGGGCCACAACTTCCCAGGCCCGCCGAGCACCAGGACACCTCTACGTCATTCTTGTTCAGTATGGTTTACACAGACTCAGCGTACAAACCACTCATCCTAGCCCTACAGTCACAATATGGCTTATTGGAAAGAGAATCGAATGGAAGAGAGCGAGGTGGCATGGAAATGGAGATGTCATAGGAGTTTCCTAAATACAGCTTTTAAATCGAGAAATATATTTGCATAAAAGCCCTAGACACTGGCCCATCAGTTAACCTCAAAGCCCCTTCGCCATGGAGATCCTAATTTCTAGTCACAGGGGTCTGTGCTGGGAAATGCCAGCTGGCAGGTCCTGCCCCATTTCTGGCTCTCCTGGGTGAAGGTCAACTCCAGTTCACAAATTTTGGGGGGATGCTCTTTTCAGTCCTTCTATTTCCTGTCTTCACTGGCCCACCTCCAATCCTCCCCTTCCTCGGGCTCCACACAGTACTCACTCAGCCGCCGCAAGTACAAAACAGCATCTTCGTACCCGCGGTAGTAGTAATTGTGCAGGATCTGCAAGGTGAACACCAAGAAAGTAACTAAGGCTGCAGCAGCAGCGAACACACGGACCCCTCACCCTGAGCAGCTACGTTCATTGCTCTTGAGCTTTATTTGGTCAGCTTTTTGAAATGTACCCTCCAGTGTCCCACCCCTCACTATGTGCTGAAAGAGGGGGAGCAATTTCTGATCGGGGGTCCTTAGGGATGCTGCATTAATGTGTGCAACTATTCACAGCAGGTCATCACGCCTCTGGGCAGGAAAGGGTGAGAGGTTTAGTGTAGACCCAGAGGAGGTGCATCTGGGCCATCTGAAGAACAGAGTCTGGAGACTGGTTCAGACCCCAGTGCTGCCACTGGCTGTGTAGCTGTGTGAATGTAAGCCCTCCAGTCATGCATCTATAAAGTGGGAATAACAGTGTTTATTGCAGAGGATGCTACACTAACCACAAAGCCTTTTCTGCAAAGGGCCAATAAGAAATAATTTGGGGGCATTCCCTGGTGGCCTCCAGGTTAAGTCTCAGCACTATCATAGCTAGGGTATGAGTTCCATCCCAGCCAGGGAGCTACCCACATGAGGCAGCAGACCTCTCCTGTCTCTCCCGCTGCTCCCCTCAGCAGTGTATTTCAGTTAATCTACCTGTTCTGCTCCCCTCTCTGTCTCTGTCAAATCCTCTCACTGACCCCCATCTCTGGCCTATACCCCAATTCTTCTACACACAAAAAATAAACATTTTTTTAAAAAGAAATAATTTGGGCTTTGCAGGCCACAGATAGTATCTGTCCCTGCTCCTTTCCCTTTTCTTCCTCTTTTGCTTTTGTTTTGCTTTACAGTTCTTTAAAAATGAAAAGCCAATCCTCAGCTCACAGGCTGTACACAAACAAATGCCGGCTGGATCTGGCGTTTGGCCACAGTTCGCTGACCTCCACATTGCAGGTCAGAGAGGAAGACTCCTGTCAGCGTGAACACTCCTATCAGTGGTTCTGACATCCTTGCATTTTTCAGGGGAGGAATGGAGGCTGGGAGGACATGGGAGGTGTGTTCAAGGTCATATAGCTAGTTGGCGTTGGCGACAAGGCCAGGACAGTCTAGGAGAAAGTTTAAAGGATCATTTGTAGGGAGGAGACACAATGGAACTGAATGATGCCACTGACTCCCCCAGGCCACCCAGCCCCTGACCCCCCGGCATCCCCCTGTCTCTCACCAGCAGGTCCGGGGGGAACAGGGCATGGGTCATCCTGGTGATGTTCTCCAGGGAGAACTGGAAGGAGCAGTTGAACATGCGGAAGTCGTGGAAGATGGCAGGGCAGTCCCGGGGGCAGATGTCCTGCTGCCCGCTGAAGGTGGAGATGGTGATGGCGTCAGTCCAGAAGGAGCAGGGCTGCATGCCTGTGAAGCCCCCGTCGATGTACCTCTGGGGGGAAGCAGAGTGAGAGATGTTCATCTGGTGGCAGAAGCCCTCACTCATCCAGGGGCCACTGAGGACATGGGTCACTCAGGACAAGCCTTGGGACCGTGGTCTGGGCAGGTAAATGGTGAGCCCATGGTCACTCAGGGAGTCCATGGTGGCCTCAGACCCCCAGTCCAGTGCTCTGTCCTGCACCAGCCCCTCTCAGCCATCTTAATGGTACTAAGGGTGGGGATCTCAGGCCTCTGTGAGAAGGGGTACCCATACCCTGGAAAAACAGGAAAACATGCCCCCCCCCCACAACCTCCCAGGCTATCTCTCCCAGAGCCACTCCACTGCTGAGGGCAGGTGGGGGGCAATGGAGCCCATCCTCATGGCCTTTCAGGAAGGCATACTCATCTTGGGTCTCGGCAAAGTGTGAAATATCCCCCCTTCCTCCTGCCAGACAGCTATGGGTCCAAACAGCCTTCCTCCTAAGGCCAGGCACCCCTACCACTTTCCAGAGCCCCCCCATGCCACAGCCTGGCCACCAGCTACCATGTGTCCACCCCCAACCCCCTTAGGGCTTCTGCTTCCTAAGCTGTGAATGAAGAACAATAAATGCCAAATTTCTAGCTATTGGGGTGACTGACAGCTACACAACTGACACACGACACAGGCTCCAGCAAGCAACTGGCCCTTAATCTCTGGATCTCACTTTCTTTGTACATAAAATGAAGAGGGGGCATGGGTTAGACCCTCCTGTGCAGAGTGGCTTCACCTGAAGCAGGTTAGAGGTGCAAGATCTTGGGGCCCTCCTTACAGACCTACTGGCTCAGAGTTCACATCATTGATAAAAGCTGCAAGTGATTCATGGGCGCATTAAGGTTTCAGAGGCATGAGCCTAGAGGACCTAGAAAGTCTCCATCATCGAAGGTTCCAGGCCCCAATATTCCAGGGCCCTTATTCTAACTGCCAAGTCTGTGGAGTCTTGATTTGCTGGGCTCAGTAATAGGTCACTGGGTTCAGAGAGACGCCAATGCAGCTGGGAAGTCCCCAAAATTCACCCTAAAGTCCCAGAAATCTATCTGTTGGGAATTCTGAGTAGAAAAACATAAGAAGCCTTCCAACTTTTGGTTCTCCCACTGAGTTCTGAGACCACAATCTGGCCCCCTGAATTAAGCACCCCTTGATCCCAGCTCACCACCCCCTCCAAATGCTGAAGCACTTACCACACCACGGTAAGTTGGGGGAATGAGGCCACAGTAGACAGGGACAAAGCAGCTGCAGTAGAGGGCCTGTGGAGAGAGCACAGGACTGAGGTGCTGAGGCCTGGCGGCTGGGTGGGGAGGGGGGTCGTATGCAGACCACTGGGCCACCACTGGTCTGGTCTTCCTTACCAGGGAAGCAGATTCTCAAGTTCAGTTCCTGCGCTGACTCATTAGCTGGGTCCACGGTAATCTACTTGGTCAGTCTGAGCCTGATGTCCCAAGTTTATTTATTTATTTATTTATTTAAACTGAGACTTCTTCATAAACCAATTATAGCTAACATTTTATTTTATAAAAGATTTATTTATTTATACAAGCACTGGGTACAGTCAGAAGCGCAGGAGGGTGAGAGAATTCACCAGAGCCAGAGCAGGGAGCAGAACAGGCAGATGGACTGAAATACACTGCTGAGGGGAGCAGCGGGCAGCAGGAGAGGTTTGCACGCCATGTGGGACCCTCGCCCGGTGGCCGGGGATCGAACCAGCACTGCCGAGGCCACGGGCAGCTTTGCAGCCCAGCGTTCAACCACTGCGCCACCAGGGGAGACCCTAATGTCCCAAGTTTAAAGGGAGGTGGTGGCCTAACAATCTCCAGGGTCCTTCTAGCCCCATGTTTCCAAGAATCTAACAGGACTCAATAACCACCGTGTCTCCAGGGCCAGGCCCTCAAATCAAAGGAGGGCAAGACGCCCACCCTTGGGACTATGCAAAGAGGGGAAGTGAGTCAGTAGGTGGCAGTATCGGATGACAAGCGCTGGAACCTCTGTTGGCCAAGCTTGGACCTCTAAAAAGCTCCAGGATTAAGGCAGATGGCAGGGCAGAGGGGAGAGCAGAGGCTGAGCCCTGGGGACTCTGAGTGTTGAAGTGTAGAGGAGGGTGACCGAGTCTTATTCATCTTGGGCTTCTCTGAGTCTATGTCCCTAGCAGTGTGCCTGGAACAGAGATGCCAGGAGGGTGAAGGCAGGGTAGAACTAGGGAAGCAGAAAATGGAAGGAAGAAAGCAAGGCAGAGAAGTGGACCATGGGGGGCTTGTCAAGAAATGCAGGAAGTTCACTGGCCCTCCAACCTCTCACCCCTAGGCACCCCCCTTGGCCCCAGCCCCAAGCCAGGCCCCACTCCAATGCTGGGCCCCGCCCCATTCCCAGGCCAGCGCCCTTGCCTCTATGAGCTCCTCCTTGGACGTGTACTCGGAAACCACCACGCTCTCTCCATCCGTGAACCGGGTGAGGGTCACGTGGAGCTTCCCATTGGCGGCTTTGTAGGAGTCCTCAGGCAGGACCTGGTACAGAAACTGCCTCATCATCTGCACCATCTTGCAGGACGGGGACAAGGGCCCCAGGAAGGACTTCTTCACCTCAGCCACACCCACATTGAGGACTCTGAGGTACTCGTCTGTGGAGGAAGCAGAGAGGAGCAGGTGGTCAGGGCACACCGTGGCCTGTGGCCCAGAGACGTCAAGGGTGGCAATTTCATCCTGCATCCAGCAAATGGGAAACCTAGAACTGCGAGGCAGGGAAGGTCCCAGGAATCCAGCTGTCATTTTGCACACAAGGAAAGCAAGGTACAGAAGAATTAAGTCACTGGCTCCAGAGACCAGCTGCGGAACTAGTCAAAGGCGAAACCAGACCCAGGGTTGGCCTCCTCCATAGTGAAGGCCAAAGACCAAATGACTTTCCCCTACTTCCTGCCACGATGCTAGAAGTCCACCACCACCAGACTATGTTCTTTTGCCTGAAAGCCTATTAGTGACACCCTGAGACAGTTGTATGTGGGGGTGGGGGTGAGGAAGTAGGGATGCTGGCCTTCCCTTTATGGCCTCTGACACAGGCCAGGGAGGGAGAAGTTCCTGAAATATGGGACACATGTGCCAGGTGGGACTGCAGGTTGTGGGGGGTGGGTGAAGGTCCTTCTCCCTCCTTTGGAGAGGAGCACAGGCAGAGCACCAGGGGCTCCCATGGAGGGCAGAGGTGTTGTTCAGGGAATGTATACAACCACAGAGGTTTTGTTCAGGGGAAGTATAACCCCTCCCCCTCTCTTCTGCCAATCCCCAAAATCCCACCAGAGAAGTCTGGGTTGTAGGCTTAATAAGCAGTGCCGACACACTTGATTCTCACAGCAATACTGTGAGGTAAGTTTTTATATCCTCATTTTACTAATCAGGAAACTGAAGCCCAGAGAGGTAACATAATTTGCTCAAGGTCAACCATCTACTAAGTGGACCCAGTGGGATTTTAAGCTGGAGTGTGTGACCCTAAAACCCGTGGTCCTTCCGCTACTCTAAGCTGCAAGCTTCCAGAGCCAGGCCTATCCCTGCTTCTTGCTGACTGCTGCTACTTTCTACCCTGGGTGAACCCTCTGAGAAAATCAGAAACAGAAATAGCTGTGAAAAGGATTGTTAATTTTTTAAAAACAAATATTTAATTGTAAAACATCCCATGCAGAAAAACTTTCTTGCAGTTAATTATTACGTAGCAATGGCTCCTTAAAAGTGGTGTCTCACCAGTGAGAATGGCACATATTAAAAAAACTAGCAACAACAAATGTTGGCGAGGATGTGGAGAAAAAGGAACTCTTGTGCACTGTTGGTGGGAGTGCAAACTGGTCCAACCACTATGGAGAGCTGTGTGGAGATTTCTGGACCTACTAAACATAGGGCTTCCATATGATCCAGCAATTCCACTCCTAGGTATTTACCCAAAGGACACAGAAACATCAATTCCAAAGAGCACCTGCACTCCTATGTTTATAGCAGCACTGTTTACAATAGCTAAGCTTTGGAAACAACCCAAATGCCCAAAAATAGATGACTGGATCAAGAAGATGTGGTACATATATACCATGGAATATTACTCAGCATTCAAAAAAGATAAACACATGCAATTTGCAGCAACATGGATGGCACTGGAAGGGATCATGCTCAGCGAAATAAGCCAAAAAGAAAAAGAAAAATACCGGATGGTCTCACTCATAGCAGGAATCTAGAAAACTTAAATAAGGGACCAGGAAAATGAATATAAGAAAGTGAAAATCAAAATCAACAAAAAACTATGAACCAGAGACACTTTTTGGGGGGTGGGGGGCGGGAGGGGAAGGATTGGGGTCAGAATGGGGCGTTTGCAATTGTATGGGGGAATATAAAAATAAAATTTATTATTTAAAAAATAAATAAATAAAAAAAAAAAAAAAAAAAGTGGTGTCTCACAAGCTCTCTGCACTGGAGGTAACCAAGCAGAAGGGGAATAAGTACCCCAGAGAAATTTTCAAAGGAATTCCTGGGTTTTGGTTTTTGTTTTTGTTTTAAGAGTTTTTTTTTTTTTTTTAAGATTTATTTGTTTATGCATACAAGAACTGTGGTACAGGCCAGAGGTGCAGGAGGTGAGAGGATTCACCAGAGACAGAGTAGGGATCAGAACAGGCGGATTGACCAAAAAATACTGTGCTGAGGAGAGCAGTGGGCAAGTCAGGAGAGGTCTGCTTCACCATGTGGGTCACCTCCCTGGCTGGGGATTAAACTTGTGCTGCAGTGGCTGTGGATAGCTTCATAGTGCTGCTTCTTAACTCCTTGCGCCACCAGGGAGGACCCTGCATTGGGTTTTAAGAGCTAAGATTCCATCCAACTTTGAGATTCTGGAATTCTCTGGGGCACCTTACAATACATCTGGCAAGTTATCACCCATGGACTTTCCTATTTATAAAACAGCTGAGGCACAGAGAGGTTAAATTATTTGCCCAAAGTCACACACAGCAAAGTTCACATTTTACAGTTAACACATTACTCCTTGTCAGTCTGGAAGTGGATGGAATAAGGAGCTTCAACATCGTTTCACAGATGTAGACACTGAAGCAGAGAAAAACTCAGTGTCTTGCCTGAGATCAGACACCCAGGCAGTGCTTGTTCTGGCTCTAAAGCTCACCTGCTTTCTCTGGGTGTTGGTGATCCCAGAGGCCAAGTGAGCCTGGGTTGCCATGGTAACATCCTTTTCTCCTAACACTCAGAATCACAGCTGCATATGTGCATTAGGGAACGACTAGAGCCACCAAGCATTCTTGTCACCCCCTTCCAGGGGAGGGTGATGGGAAAGCCTTTGTGGTTTTAGAGCAGTTAGCCTAACCATGTGCCAACTCGCAGAAACAGTGCTTTCCTGCAGGGGCGGGTGGTGGGGGCCGACCCACCTGCAGGTTATGAAGCAACTGAGAATGTGGATGCTAAGATGATGGGTCACTGAGGTCTCACCCACAGGACCAGTTAGGATAGGGTGGGGACACGATGTTTTTGGAATTCTTAATGAACAGAGGGTCAGTGACCTTTCCCACAACGCCTCGGAGCCAGGAGCACCTGAGCCAACGTACGATATCCTCCTGGACCCCCAGCAGGAGGTGCTCACTGGACCAAGGAGGGAAGTTTGTTCATACCACACAAGAAGAACCTATTTGTGTGGAAAAAATAATTTAAAAAAAATGCAGATAAGCAAAAAGAAAAACATTTCAATCTCTTGGAATCCCTCTACCCAGAGATTAATTGTTGGTCTATTGTCTTCCTAGATAAAAGCATTTACAAAATTACATATATATAAAGACATGTGAATAAAAATTTGTATTTATTCCTACATGTATGAATCTTACTTGGAATATACTACATATTACTATATACACCGTTTTTGTAACTTGCCTTTTTCACCTAATGTGCTGTGTCTTTCCACATCAATAAATATCCATTGATGACCTAATTTAAAAGCAGTGTGGAATGCTATTGTATACCATATTTATTGAACAGGCCCCCAACAGGGGTGGCTTTTTAGCTTGTTTCCTTGCCTTTTTAAACACTGCCGCAATGAATAACCTCATGTTATATTCATTGCCTGTGTCCTTAGTTATTTTCCTTAGGATAAATTCCTAGAGGAGGGAAGGCTAGGTCACTCAGAGGCATGTATATTTAAAATTGCAGTGCTCCAAGGGACTGTGGTGATGGTGCACGGGTGAATTGGTAGTGGGAATTTTACAGGGACTGCACCTGAGAGGAGAAAGCATGCATTGTACATAAAATAAATAAATATTAAAAAATAAATTGCAGTGCCCATTGTAATCATGGCTTTTATATATGATCCTTTTACAGTCAACACTCACGTATGGGGGAAGGGGTGACAGGGGAAAAAACAGTGCCCATGCTAATAGTATAGGGGTTGCCAATGCACTTACATCAGCAAATAGCATCATCTGGAAATTAGCAATGCTTTCGCCAGAATCGTGTAGCCAGGGAGGGAAGGAACAGGAGATGGTCTGACTTTTCCTGTTCAGATGCCCAATTTGAAATTCCTCTGGCAGCTCACTGGGGCTGTGTACCCAGGGAATCTTGTATCTCTGCCTCTCATTGCTCCTGTCCACTCTGTCTTCAGTCTCTGATTATCTCTTTTCTGCCTCTCTTCCTTCTCTTTCTTTCTTCCCATCTGAGGGAGAAGCAACTAATCTAGTTTAAAAGCCTCCATTGGTGGAAAGTTAAGTGTTAAGATAGCAATTGCTGGGTGCTGGGAGGAGAGATAAATTTAGCTTGCTTCTTTAGGCATCTCTGTACTTTCTAGCACTTTCTCCCATTTCACGTTCTCCTTCCAGGGTGCAGGCTGCTGTGCCTGGGGACACAGTGTCCCACACTGACCAGAGCAGATGGGATTTAAAAGCAGCACCACTGGCACATGTATGATCAGGAAACTTGGGATTGGCTCGCCACCCACAGCCCACATAAAGCATGTTCATTGCTCTTCCTTCCTGCCTCCTTTCACGCCTCAGTGTTATCTAAATGTAAATCTGTCTCCCAAGTCAAGCTGGAGGTTGTCATGCCCTCCTCCCCTTCTCCAGTCTATCACTGTGCTTTGCCCATAGAAGGCCCTTCAGACAACTTGGCCGTAGGCTTAGAAGCCCTCCAGGCCAGGGATGGGCTATGCTTACCTAGACCCAGAAAGCCTCCCACACTTGGTGGATGCTCAGTGTTTGTTCAGTGTGTGAACAAAGGAAAATAAAAACCTGACTGGGAGGAAAAGCAAGAGATGGGGTTGCTCAAAGGAAAGAGCTACTGAACATCATTGCCCAATAAAAGCCTAAAGGCAAGACATGACAGACCAGATGTAGCCGTCCTAGGCCTCACAAAGGGGAAAACATTAGGTACCGAAGCAGATAAATAAAATAAACACATATCTAATTATCCCTAATTTCCCCCTAATTATAATATCCTAGTTAATATCCCTAATTATTCCTCCCACTTCAATGGTTTTTCTGAGACCCCCTTTTCTGTCTGCCAGACAGAATAAAATAGCAGAGTTAAGCTATAGTGAAACCTCTGTGTCCCAGGTCACACATCTATGGATTCAACCAACCTCAAAAATAAAAAATATGTTAGGGCT